GCTTATTTTTCTTTACTCCTTTTAATCTATGTCTGTATTCTGTCTCTTGAAAGACTTTACCTTTCTTTTTAAACCATTTACTTCTTTTTATAACTGTCTATATTCTTTTTCTTCTCTCTCCCAAGCCTATATACATTTATCCAACACTGTGACCCATTTATAGGTCTTTTTTAAATCTGGATTTGTATTTATTGCATATCTGTAATTATTTTCTGACCAGAAGCACTTCTTAAAGATCCAAGCACTTAAGAATCTAAGCTGCACCATTGCTAGGGGAAATACAATACTTCCTGCTTGCCTTGCACAACATGGCAGAGCTGCTCACTGCTTCCAAAAGCACACTGCCCACTTCCAGGCACACAGCATTTCCATCAAGCAAACCACAGCATGCTTCTTACAAACCCCATCCAAATGCTCAATCTTCTGAAAGAGCCAGAGGTCGCGCTGGCACTATGACCCAGAAACTTGGCATTTCAAAACTGTGCACAGCTTTTTTCCTGCTACCACTGAATCAGGAAGACCTCTCTTAAAAGAGCCATGCCTCTGCTTGCTTCTAGCAAACAAAACCCACCCAAGAAAATGTCACAACCCAACCATGCTTAACTCTGTTCTTTTGTATCTGGATTTTTAAGCTTTCTCAGTTTTTACATGGATTACATTGGCATGCCAATTTGTTGAAGGAGACCACCTGGCTGCTTGCTTATTTCCCATCTGCCCAGACCTCTGAAATAATTACACAGAAACTGTATTAATTAAATCACTGCTTGGCCCATTAGCTCTAGCTTCTTATTGGCTAGCTCTTACATTTTAATTTAACCCATTTCTATTATTATGTGTATTGCCACATGGCTTACTGGCTAAAGTTCCCAGCATCTGTCTCCGACCGGCTACATAGCTTCTCTCTGCCTCTACCTCCTTTCTCCCAGTATTTTGTTTAGTTTTCCCTGCCTACCTCTAATCTCTGCACAGGTCCAAGACAGTTTCTTTATTAACCAATGGTATTCAGACCATACAGAGGGAAATCCCACATCACTCTATCTTCAAGGTAATAGCAAGGGATGGAGCCTTTGAAAGGCAATTTGGTCATGAGAGCTCTGTCCTCATCAATGCAGTTAGCAGTACCTTTTCAAAAGGACACTTGAGGAATGTATTTACACACAAAAGGCACCATCCATAAAGATTACATATAGCAGACACTAAATATACCAGCAAATTAACCTTGGACTCCCCCCACCCCAACCTGTGCAACTATAAGCAATCAATGATTATTCTTCATAATTTCCATGGTCTCAGACATATTGTCACAGTGATCCACAGGAACCAAAACACTACTACTGTTTTGAGGGTTTTCATTGGCTGAGGCGATAGTTCTCAAAAAGCCTCACTTTAACCTAATGTAGCCATATACCTCATTTCCTAAGACAGTGATATGGACTTGGTTCATCCTGGCTCACTATAATCTTAGAATATACTCCCTGCAACTACTTTTCTTTTGCTATTGTTGGGACAATTTCAGTTTGGATGACTTTGTGGCATCATTAGGGCAAATGGTTGTCCATTAGTTTACACGTTCTAGACATTATATGCAGAGTCTTTTCTAGTGCCTATAAAATGAGATTTAAAAAATGATGTATATATGCATATATCTGTGTAAGCGCATATGTATGAATGCAGCAGTATTGACTTCCTTGGAGTTAGGATTACAGGCATTTGTGGGCTTCCCAATGTGGTACCCAGAACTGAACTCAGGTTCCCTGAAAGATCAGTATGCACTATTAATCCTGAGCTATTTCTGCATCCAGTTCTTTTTCCAGTGTCTTTTGTGAAAAAATTTTGCCCAATAAACCTTACCTGCAAACTGTACATTTTTATTTTTTTCCAGTGACGAGGATTGATATATGGGATCTCATATATGATATGCAAATGCCGTACCACTGAGACCTAGCAGCAGCCCTCTGATATTTGTGATTGTCCTATCCTACCTTGTCTAAACTTTCCTACAGGGGGGAGTTGTTCGGGCAGTGATAGTTTTGGGTGCTGTCATTTTCTTCATGGAGATGATCCTTTTGAAGATTAGTGAAAACTGCACTAATAAGTGTTTGGAATTAGTGTGTTTTGACCAGGACTCTGGGGAACGTCAGACCCAGGAGATCCTCGGTAGAGCCGATGCACCTCCTAACTTTTGCTCCCATGTCTGGTTTCTGGGAACTCTTCCAGGGATTCTCTTTCCTCTTGGCATTTGCTTTTTGTTGAAAGATGTCAGAGGAACTTTTCTTTCCTGACAAATGGACTCAAACAGGAAAGAGGGAGATCTGGAATTTTCCTTCACTCTCATGTGGCCTGGGTTGTGACTCAGCAGCCAGCCATGCAGCAGGGTCTGAGGGCTCAAACATCTGACCATCTTCATACTTAGATCGTGAGTTTTAGCACTGCCTGAAAATGTCAAGCATCAATCTTTCTTTGCTGACAGGCATCTTCTGATACCCACACTTTTAATTGATTTAAGTCATTTCTTTCTCTTGCTCACCTTTTATGTTTTATGACAGGTTTTCATGTAGCCCAGATTGGCTTTGTACCCGAACTGCTATGTAGCCAAGGATGACACACTGCTTTTGATTCTCCTGACTCTCCCTTCTGAGTGCTGGGATTACAAGTGTGTACCGCCATGCCCAGTTTATACATTAGTGGATTCCAAACAGGGGTATTTATGCATGGTTGGCAAGCATCCCAGCAACTGAGTTACCTCTCCAGCCCTTATTTCATTCTAATATTCTAAAAATATCTGTTATCACAAATTTTACATTTTTTTTACTCCCAAAATTATTTGCCCACAGGCAGAAAAAGAAAATATACTTTCATTAGATCAGTCCCACTGTCTCAGTGGGCGGACGCACCCCTCGAGGTCCTGACTTCCTTGCTCATGTTTTCTCTCCTTCTGCTCTTCATTTGGACCTTGGGAGCTCAGTCCAAGTGCTCCAGTCTGGGTCTCTGTCTCTATCTCCATCCACCGCCAGATGAAGGTTCTATGGTGATATGCAAGATATTCATCAGTATGGCTATGGGAGCTCACCAAGGCCAGCTGGACTGGGACTGATGGAGCATGTGATCAAACCGGACTCTCTGAATGTGCTTGTCAATGAAGGCTGTCTGAGAAGCCAAGGACAGTGGCACTGGGTTTTGATTCTATTGCATGGGCTGGCTTTGTGGGAGCCTGGTTTGTTTGGATGCTCACCTTCCTAGCCCTGGATGGAGGAGGGAGGACCTTAGACTTCTCATGGGGCAGGGAACCCTGACTGCTCTTAGGACTGGAGAGAGAGGGGGAGGAAGGGAGGGAGAGGAAAAAGGGAGGTGGGGAGGAGGTGGAATTTTTTAATAAATAAATTAATTAATTATAAAAAACAACAAAAAAGAAAATATACTTCCCTATAGGACAGTGGATCACAACATTTTGGGGAGTGTTGAATGACCCTTTCATAGGGGTTGATATCCTGCATATTAGATACTTACATTATGATTCATAATTACATTATGAAGTATCAATGAAAATAATTTTAGGGTTGGGGGTCACCACAACATGAGGAACTGTACTAAAGGGTCTCAGCATTAGGAAGGTTGAGAACCACTGCTCTAGAAGAGGATTCAACCTTTTGATAAAATATTTGTAATCTACATAAAAATGTAAGAGTGAGATTAATCAGTTCTTATTAGTCAAATGATGTTTTCACTAGCAGATAATATTATCTCACTGGAAGAACATTGATTTATGGACTTTATCATTTATATTGTGAAAGCTTTATCGTTAAAGGACCAAGTATGAATATTTAAAGCTTCCTGTTCGGGATTATAAATGTTTAGAGAGTTAATGTAAGCTGGTAGTATAAAAATGCGTGAGGGAGCTTAAACGATTCTGAATAATACTGTCCTTTTGAAAGCTCCATGAAGGCTTCCTTTCATCAAAGGGGCAGGAACAAGGCTGTAATTAACTTGGAGCAAATGGACTCATGCAGGATCCTGTTCATGGTCAGGGTTATTTGGCTTTCTCTGTTAGACTGTCAGGCATGTCTGGAATGGAACTGGCTTTTGAGACAGACTCGAGAACCATCTCTTAACTCTCTGATCGTGGCCTCTGCTCATTAGCCTTGCTGAACTGGTGCGGGAGAATTATCTGTATTCTGTCAATCATATTTTAATAGAACACTGATTGGCCAGGCAGGCAGTATAGGCAGGAAAGCCAGACAGGAAGTAGAGGTGGAGCAAAGAGACTGGGAGTATTCTAGGAAGGAAGATGCTCCCTCTGCCATTCCTGCCCAGATCACCGAAGAAGCAACATGTGAGCTGTCAAACTGAGAAAGGTACTGAGCCATGTGGCTAACATAGATAATGATAATGGATTAATATAAGTTACAAGGACTAATAATAAGCCTGACCTAATGGGTCAATCAGTTTATAATCATATGGAGTCCTCTGTGTGATTTTTCTTGGGGGCTTGCCGGCTGTGGGGTGCTGGGCGGGAACAGATACCCCAACAAGCAGGCCCTCATGTTACACTGAACCTTAGTTGTTTCTTCATCTGTAGTGTGAGAGTTTGGAAAGCACCAATCACTTGGAAGTGTGAGAACTGAATGAAATCGTGCACGGAAGCTTAGCCCCTGCCCAACACAGGTTAGATAGGTCAAGTAATTCACCTATTTTGGGAAACTAAGCCTTCTAAACTGTCCCTGAGTGAGACAGCAAATGAACATGTGTTCCTTTCTTGGCTCTTTGGGAGTGGCCTTTATCCTTGTCACTTAAAAAAAGGCTTTGTTTAGGAATATACTTACTCATATCTTCAATTTGTCCCTAATAAGTGGAAGATGGGAGTCATTTAGCCCCCTTCCTCACTGTTGAGTCTGTCTTTCTAGCCTTCTGGAATCCAGACTGCCTATGTGCCCCTCCCTGAGTCTCTTGGGCAGTTCCTCTAATCTCTCCTTACTTAGGCACAAGTGAATGCTCACACCTACCCTCATCTTGCATGAATCTTGCTCCTGGTCTGCGATGTGATGTGTTCCCTGCACCAGGAATACTACCATAGTCATCCCACACCTCCTGCATGCTCAGGACAAAATCCCTCACTTCTCTGTCACAGTAGCCATGAGAGGTAGACAGTCTAGGTTGAGAGCTAAGCAAGTCCAAGAACAAGGAAGGGAGGAAAACAGTGGTCTTTTTAGCTCACCTGTAAAAGCTAGACAAGCTTGGCTGGAATTCAAATACATAATGGTACCACCTAGAGAGAGGTGAAAAAGGCTGCCTCAGTGAAGGGATTCAACTCCCCTACAACAACGTGCCTTTCAGATGGGGCATTGACAATGATCTCCAAGCACTGCCTTTCAGACGGGGCATTGACAATGAACTCGAAGCACTGCCTGAAAGAGGGAAGCGGGCGGGAGCTTGGCCATAATACTTTGCAGTGTTCAATCCCTAGACAAGTAAACTCCAGGAGTGTGACAAGTTTTGTGGCTGTCATGCTCAGCACGTGTAAGTGCAGAGTTAATGGTTGCCAAGGCATGTGGCTGAGGGTGTCCATGGAACCTAAGGAAACAATAGATAATAAACGGAGAAGGATCTCACTTCTGGCCTTTAGCTTGGGTGATATTGAGGCAGCTGAGAGATCCTGGCTTTTGGTGGCTTTTAGTGGAAAGGGTCGTGTGTTGCTTGATGGAGGGTTTACATTTAGAAAAATCGGTTGCTAGGCAATTTTATCACTGTACAAACATCTTGATGTATAGCCACAAACCTAGAAGGAATACCCTGCCATATGCCCAAACCACGTGGGCAGTCTATTGCTCCAGGCTACGGATCTTCACAGCACAAACATTTTAAAAATATCTGAACATCTCTAAACAGAGAGTGTTCACAGTAAAAATGTGTTATAAAAGATGAAAAATTGGTATCCTTGTGTAGGACTTTTCCCATCAGGGGAGCTTACAGGGCTGGGCATTGCTTTGGGTGGTTTCCAAGGGTGAGTACGCACTGACCATAATGGTCTAGGTCAAGGCTGTGGTGTCACTGCTGCATTACAAACAGCTGCATGGAGGCGACATTAGGTTGGGTTTCTTTCTTCCATAATAAACCTAGTTTAATCTAACTATTTTTTATTTTATAGCAATGCTTAGCTTAAAAAATGCAAAGATAAACCAGGCTGTGGTGGTGCACGCCTTTCATCCAAGCACTTGGGAGGCAGAGGCTGGTGCATCTCTGTAAATTCTGGTTTACAGAGCAAGTTCCAGGACGGGTTCCAAAGGTACACAGAGAAACTCTGTATCCAAAACAAAACAAAACAAAAAACAAAATGCAAAGATAAAAAAGTCTTTTTTTAAAAAAAAAAAAAGATTCCATTTTTAATCATGTGTATGGGTATGTCTGTGTGTGCATTCGTGCATGTGCCAAGATACCAGAAGAGGGTGTTAGATCCCTGGGAACTGGAGCTCCCACCTGACATGGGTGCTGGGAACTGAACTTACATCCTCCGTAAGAATAACAGGTGGTCTTAACTACTGAGCCATTTCTCCAACCCTTTCTTTTGGTGTATTCTCATCCATGTACTTTTCTGTTAAATTTTTTATTTTGATAGTTGAGGATCAAGCTCTGTTGGCAGAGCACTTGCCCTTGCTTAGCTTGTAAAGGCAATGGGTTTGATACCCAGCAAACAGAAAGAAAACTATTTTAACCTGGGCCTGATGGTGCAGGCCTGTAATCTGAGCTGTTCGGATGAGGCAGGAGGATCGCACATTCAAGGCTGGCCTTTGTTCCTTTGTTAATGGTCAACTGAATATGCTTATGCATGTTTTTCCTGGGATTTTTACTATGTTACAGTGACTAACTTTTCTACTCTTTAACCAAGAATCCATCATCTCAATCACGGTAGTATTATTGTAAGACTTGACATTGGACAGGGTCCGTTTCTCGCACCGTTCTTTGGGATGGTGTCAGCTTTTGGGAGGACTTTTGCCTCTCCGTAGGTAACTCATAACTGTTAACTGACATATGCTCATTTGCTGCTATTTTTATTTAATTTCACTAATCTATAAAATTGATAGTAACTGGTAAGTTCACAGCATTCAGTCTTGCTATCCATGTCGAACGTTTAGTTCTTTGACCTCATACATTGGAGCCATGTAGTTTTCCTAATAAAGAGTGTGTGTGTGTGTGTGTGTGTGTGTGTGTGTGTGTGTGTGTGTTTCATTTGTTCCTAAGTATTTTTGAGGATATTAATTTAAATATTATGTTTTAATTTTGATTTTTGTGATAATTGCTGAAACTTAAGAATTTGATTGGCCTCTGCATTGACCTTGTATCCTGTAACTATTTGAAATCTGTTTACCAGTTCCAAGAGCCTTTTGTGCTTTCTCTTGGTTCCTACACCAACAGTTGGGAAATCTTGAAGAAAGACAATTTGACTTCATTCTTTCCAAAAAAGTACATCAGTGTACTTTTCATTGTTTATTTGAAACTGGTCTCTTATATAAGTTCCTCAAGTTAACCCACTGTTGGACAGGGTCTCTCTTTCTAGCTTAGGCTGGTCTGGAACTCACTATATAACTCAGTCTGCGCTCAAATTCATGACCCTTCTCCTTTAACCTTACAAATCCTGGGATCACAAGTGTGCATCTGTACATATTTATTTTACTTTGATTTTTTTATTGCATTAATTATGATTTCAGCAATGATATTGAAAAGAACTCTGGTGAGAAGGAACATCCTTACCTTGTTTATGATTTTAGTGGGAAAGATACTTGGATCTTGCCATTAACATTAGCTAAGCCAGTTGTGGAATACTTAGGAACCTGAGGCATGAAGATAGTCTGAGGTCAACCTTAGGCCAACCTGAGCTACACTGTGACTTCAAGGTCAGCCCAGGCTATGTAGAGAAACTCTCAAAATACATGAAACTCCCTACATACACCAAAATCTACCTCTGTAATTTTTTTTTGAGACAGGGTTTCTCTGTGTAGCCCTGGTTGTCCTGGAACTCAACTTGTAGATCAGGCTTGCCTTCAACTCAGAGAGACCTGCCTCTCTCTGCTTCCTGAGTGCTGGAATTAAGGACATGAGCCACCACTGGCCAGCGATTTTTAAAAATAGATTCTATCTCAAAAAGGAAAAAGAATTGAAAAATAAAAATTTAAATTTGGGAACTGTTATGAGTGAATCAAGTTTAATAAGGTGAACCCTTAAAAGGAATCAAAGAGATTTTCCTGCTGGTCATAAAGGAGCATGCTCTAGAGAGGTCTCAGTTTAGGGGGACAGACAGACCCCAGAAGCTGCCAGCAAGAAGGAAAGATTTCTGTAAGTATGAAAAGGGGAATCTCACATCTACGATAAGATGGTTACCATAGTCATCACTATGGTTCTATCTTAAGACTCAATAAGCTGAGTCTTATTTGGTCATATGGTCTAAGAAACTTCAATGGGTATAGTTCTATGCTGCTAGGTGGCAGTATTTGTTACTCAGTGAAATAAATGTACCCAGTATTCTATATTAATATAGAAGGCTTGTTCTAACTCTTAGATGGCCCAATGTGTCCCTGGTTCTTAATTCTAGAGGTTGGCTACACCTGTAGGCAGTGAATGCTAGTTCCACAGGGAGCTTGCTTCCAATGGAAAGTGTCTTAGGGTTTTTATTGCTGGGATGAAACACCATGACCAAAGCAAGCCAGAGAGGAAAGGGTTTATTTATCTTACACTTCCATATCACTGTTCATCATTGAATGAAGTCAGGACAGGAACTCAAGCAGAGCAGAACCTGGAGGCAGGAACTGATGCAGAGGTCATGGAGGAGTGCTGCTTACTGGCTTGCTCAGCATGGCTTGCTCTGATAGGGGAGTTCAGCCAACCATATTCTGTTTTCGGGGCGTGCCGCCCTCAGGCAAAAGCCTGCCTATAAACCTTGCAAATGCGCTCCGCTAGCCCTCTTTTCGCCTGGCTCCTGTGTCCGGACGGATCGGTTGGATTCTGGTGTAAGCTGTTGTAAGTCTTACTTCTGTTTATTAAAGCTATATATTTTGTATCAAGATAGTCTGGGGACTTTTCTTTACCAATCGCCCTGCAGCTTCATTACTCAACCTGCTTTCTTATAGAATCCAGAGATGGCACCACTCACAACTTGCTGGGCCTTTTCCATTAATCATTAATTAAGAAAATATCCTATAGCTGGATGTTAAGCATGCATTTTTCTCCATTGAGGTTCCCTCCTTTCAGATAACTCTAGCTTGTGTCAAGTTGACATAAAGCTATCAAGCACAGAAAGCCAAGCTTGGAAATCTTTTTGAGGAATGTTCGTAAGAGCATTCTGACTTCAAGTTGACTTTGCATGGCCACCAAGAAGTACCATTTTGTTTTGTTTGGCTTCAATTTACACCAGTGGTAAAACTAAACTGCAAAATTGAATGTTTTTCTGGGATAATCTCACAGTACTTTATCATTTGCAAGAGCAGGGATCATACAAAATCGTGGTCAATGGGAATGGTGACCTTGAAATAGAGTGCATAAAGAATTTGTAATCATTTGCAAAAATATGCCACTCTTTGATCGAAATTCCATTAGACAATTCCAAGTTATGTCCCACAGACATTTTAATATAGGCTTAAACATATCTAAGAATGGATCTGTGAGATGGTTTAGTAGGGCAAAAGTCCCAAGACAACCTGTGGACCCAAATTCCATCCTGAGAACCCATGTTCTCATGTCACAAGTATTCACACACATACAAAAGTACACACACTAAATACATAAATGCATGCATATTTATAATATATATAGATAAAATTGAGAGGGGGAGAAGAAGAGAGAGACAGAGAAAGAGAATGAGAGAAAGAGAATGTGTGTGTGTGTGTGTGTGTGTGTGTGTGAGAGAGAGAGAGAGAGAGAGAGAGAGAGAGAGAGAGAGAGATCTGAGGCCTCTTCAGATAGATAGCAATACTTCTTCCTGCTCTGGCATCTTACAGAGAAGCCAGGGCTGGCCTGGAGTCTTTGACCTTTCTTGGGGTTGGGGTGGGGACAGTATCTCTTTTGTGATGTTCCCATCCCTTTCATAGGCACCACATACTCAGCATGCCACACTCTTCTATCCTATACATAAGGAAAAATTACCTCCACTCAGCCATGGGACCCAGACAGAAAACATAGCAACCATTTTTGATGACCCACACTCCCAGTCTCTTTATCCTGTAACCAAACAAATCCCCTCTAATTTCCCTTTTAACTATTTCTCATATCCACAAGACAGCACACTGCATGATTAAGTTCAGAAATGCTCACAGTCTATGCTTTGCATATGAGGGTAGAATATTGATCAACTTTAAGAAGGAAGGAAGTTCTGATCCATGTTACAGGGTGAGTGAACTTTGAGGACACAGTATGCCAAATAAAAGCGCTGAAGCCTAGCCACTAGAACACTAAGGATTACTACACAATGCTAAATCACATGCGTGCACACGCGCGCGCGTGCGCACGCGCGCACACACACACACACACGATTCCGGTTATATGAGTTACTTGGAATAGTCAAAACAACCCAGACAAAGTAGAATGATGGTTTATAGGGTTTGGAGGAAGAGAAAATAGAGTTATTATTTAATGGGATGGAGTTTTACTCCTACAAGGTAAAGGGAGAGTTTGGAGGCTTGTTGGTAGGGATAGCTGTATGGTATGAATGTGTTAAGGTCACTGACCTATGAATTGTATATCATGGGCTTTATCACAATAAAAAAATGGAAACGTATTTTTTTTAAAGTGTTGACATATAGTGAAGAGAAACACCTGTTATTGGTGCCATGAGCAGCCTCCATGACACCTGTAGAGATTCCCAGAGCCCTGACTGCAGAGCATAGCTAAAGTGAAGAAGAGTATGGGAGAGGGGCAAGCTTTCACCCTGTAACGTGGAAGGAGAGGGTCTCATCAGTGTGATGCCTTATTGTATTTAATCTGTGGTCTGGGTTCGTTTTTATCCAATAGTCAATCTAAAATGTCACATGATTAATGTATTCATGGTTAGCAGTCCAGAGCATCTGTAGACGCCAGCCTCCTCCTCATACTCTTCAGTATTAGCTGAGGTGAGAGATCCTCTTGCAGATCTTTTTCTCAAGAGGTAAAAACCCGTTGAGATGTTTCTGCAACCATCCTGGAGACACCTGGTGGAGATTCCTGCCTCCTGGTCTCCTCAAGAGGGGCAGTATCTTTCTGTAGGGCTGGGGTCTTGTTTGAGGAAAGAGCTTCAGGGAGCAGATCCTAAAGTGAAAACACAAAGGAAAGAAGGTAAAGATTAAACATGGGAATAGCAAGAGCACACAACTGCTGTTTTTATGCCGGGCACCAGTAGAGAACAAAGCTGAAATCAACCTACTGCAAAGAACCGTGAGATCAAACCTGCTGGGATCAAAGTGGTCCCTAGGGACTCAGAAGCCTGCAGGGATAAAACCTCATACAGTGCTCTCTAGAATCTCTGCAAAACATCAACCACAATGTTCTGCACACACATAGAAATTACTAGATAAATGAAGAAGTAGAAGAACATTAGTCATTAACTTCAGAATGCCAAAGATGATGGGAATAGCAGACAGGGACTTAAAAAGTCATTTAATATTTTCAAAATTGTTTGAGAGAAACACAGATAAAATAAGTAAAAATTAATGTAGGTAGTCAAGAAAATGGAAACAGAAGAACCCTGGAGTTGAAAGGTATTTCTTCACTAAAAAAATCATAGAGGTGTTGGGGAGATGGCTCAAACAATAGAGAACTTGCTGCACAAGCAGGAAGACCTGTTTGGTTCCCCAAAATGAAGTAAACAACAACAAACAAAACAAAAAGGCATGATAGTGTGTGCTTGTAATCCCAGTGCTGGGGAAGCCAGCACAGGCAGATCCCTGGGACTCACTAGCCTGTCAGCTTAGCCTCAAAATACAAGATGGGGGCTAGACAGATGACTTAGTAGTTAAGAGAACTTGCTTCTCTTTCAGGAGACCTAGGTTCAGTTTCCAATGCCTACCTGGATGCTCACAACTATCTGTAACTCTAATTTCAGAGGATCCAACACCCTCTTCTGGCCTTCGTGTGTCATGTTTGCACACAGAATACATAAACACATTTATACAAACTTTTATACACATAAAATAAATATAAATAAACCTTAAAAACAAAAACAAAAGGCAAGATGGATGAACTCTGACTTCCATATGTATGCATACATACATAGCCACTTACACAAAAGATAGAGAAAATAATCATGAAAATTCCTAAATAGGATGCTGGCCATGGCAGAAGAAAGGTTTAAACATGGCAAAACAGCAACAGAAATGATCCAATCTGAAGCTGAGAAAAAAGCTGCTAAGAATAAGTGACTTAATTATTTAATGCTCAACTCTAAAAGGGGCACCTAAATCACCTCATCCAAGGCAGCAGAGCAGGGAGAAAGAACGTAAGATCAGAAAGAAGGTGTGGAACATTGCAGAACACTGTCTTCTGGGCATAGTATGCCCAGAATAAAATGATGAGAGGGTGGAAGGTGGGTAAGGCACCATTTCCAAGAGCAAGCTAACTAGGTAACCATCTCAGCAAACTCTCAGTTCAACTGAGCATTCCTGCCTTGATGAATAAGATGGAGAGCACAGCCTCAGGTTTCCACACTCATGTGTACACATGTGCAGGTGTAAACACGTACCACACACAAACATGTCCCACATACACATGAACACACACAAATCCAACACACATAAAACCCAAAGAAACCCAAGTCCCTGTGATGTATGGGGTAATGCCTAAAAGTATAACAACTCTGTTACTGCAGTCCATGGCTGAGGTAAGAACCCTTGGAACTGATGCTTGGTGGGCTAATTCTATCCAGTCTTTGCATGGACACTCCAGGAGTCCATTCGACAGTGTGGGCTGTTGAGAACATTAGTTTAAGATGTGTTACATTTGTTCATGCTGTGGAATATTTGTTTAGTGATGCAAAGATGTGCTATAGTTCTCTGATTAAATAAAATTAACCCAGGGTCAGGAGGCTGTCTGTAACATGAGGGGTTGGCTTGTTGGGGTTTCTGTCCTGCCCAATACCCCATAGCCGGAAAGCCCCAAAGAAAATCACACAGAGATCTCTATAAGTTATAAAACTGATTGACCCCTTAGCTCAGGCTACTTATTAGCTCTGGTAGCTTATATTAACCCATTGTTCTTATCTATGCTATCCACACAGCACGGTACCTTTCACAGCAGGGCAGGTTACATCTTGCTTCTTGGTGATCTTGGTAGGAATGGAGGAACAGGCTTCCTCCTTCCTAGAATTCTCCTGTTCTCATCGCCCCGCCTCTACTTCCTGTCTGGTTGACCCACCTATAATTCCTGCCTGGCCAATCAGCATTTATTTAAAACATGATTGACAGAATACAGACAATTCTCCCGCACCAGCTGTCAGCAACTAGCTGACAGGAAATGGTAGGGAGGAACCATGTATAGCTAGGGTTCTTAAGTGGGGGCTGAACAGAAGAAAGCCTCTACACCTCCTTGTCTCATCTTTTCAAATCTGAGTGGGACATTAATCTACTTCTGCAAGCAACATCCTATCTGAGGAACTCAAAGACTCAGATCCAAGCACAGAGAGTTTTAAGAGAGACAGTTGGAATGGCATCTCATGCCTTATATGCCAGCACCAGGAAAGTTGAGGCTGGAGGAGTCCTATGAGTTTAGGGTCATCCTGGGCTATCTTGAGAGTTCCAGGCCAACCAGGGCTGAACAATAAGACTCTATTTCAAAAATTTCAAAACCAAAATGAACACCTCCAAACCCAGACAAGCAATGCAAACTAAACAAAAGCAAAATAAAAGATAAGAAGGAAAAATGAAAGTACATGCAAGGCATCAAGTAAACCCCAGGCCAGCTGAGCTAGTGCCAAACTTATCTTAGGCCTGTCTGAAACCACGTTTCCCACTACCAGTGACACAAAATCATCTGAAATCCCCACTAAATCATCCAGGAGCCAGAACTTGCAATTTGTCTTATTTGCTCCTTGCCTCTCCACATCCCTGCCTCATCTTTTCAAATCTGAGTTGGACATTAACCCATTCCTGAGTCAGGAGGCCAGGTGAGTGATCCATTCAGCGTGGTTCAGTCTCAGGTTGTCCTCATCCCTTCTAACAAAGGGAGTGACTGTCCATGACTACAGCTTGCCTACAAACAGTTTCCAAAGGAAGGGTTTGCACGGTCCAGGCATCACTGGCTCTCCTTTCTCACTTTCCTTACAAGGGCCTCCTCTCACACTTGTGAAAACAATGGCACACTTTTTATCTATCTAATCTTAGCTACAGAGTACAGAAACCTAAGTGAAACACAAAGGACCAATTTACACTATTAGTGTAAAGGAAGCGTTCTATACAATAACATGTATATATAATATAATATAATATATTATAATGCAACATAAAACACGGCGGTGCGGGGAGTCATACCTTACCTTCTGTATTTCTCTTTATTCACAAAACTGTGTTGGGAAGTGATTAACATGGACAGCAAGTAGTGAGGACTTTGCTTAATGTGCCTCATCTCCTCCATCTCTGTTGTTCAAAGAAGAAACCCTGGAGGGCAAATTCCTTTTCATGCATGTCCAACCTTTAATATTGCAAAACGTGGCCAACTGCAAAGTTCAAGTTTCAGACCTCCACAATGGGGCTACACAGAAATATATTGCAATATATTCAGCTGTGTTCACAGCTACGTCGGAGTGCATGGATTGGAGTCATGGGATCGTCAAAATGTACTATCAAAATAACTTCCCGATGGATGTGGTAGCTTGTGATTGTAACTTTTAGCACTTGGGAGGCTAAGGCAAGAAGATTGAAGTAAGTTCCTGGGCACATAGTGAATCTCTTTTCTTTATCCCCCCCCCCTTTCTCCTTCCTTCCTTCTCTCTCTCTCTCTCTCTCTCTCTCTCTCTCTCTCTCTCTCTCCCCACACACACACACACACTCTCTCTCTCTCTTCATTCTAAGGGATTGAACCTCACATTTGTACACACTAGCTGATTCTCTAATGATGTGGGAGGTCCTTCTGCATATGTGTTGCTTTTATTGGTTGATGAATAAAGCTGTTTGGCCAGTGGCTTAGCAGAGGAAAACCAAGTGGGAAATCCAAACAGAGATATATAGGGAGAGTAGGCGGAGACAAGGAGACACCATGTAGCTGCCTAAGGAGAAAAATGCTGCGGGAATCTTACTGGTAGGCCACAGCTTTGTGGTGGTACATAGATTAATAGAAATGGGTTCATTTAGATGTAAAAGCTAGTTAGGAGTATGCCTAAGCAATTGGTCAAACAGTGTTGTAATTAATACAGTTTTTGTGTGATTATTCTGGTCTGGGAGGCTGAGAAAAGAACATACAGTTTCCATTTACACTGAGTGATATGGTCTCAGCTCTTCTTTAGGATTTTTTTTTTTATCTTTAGGATTTTTATTTGCCAAGGCTGACCTTGAATTTAGCATGTATCTCAGGCTTCTAAATCTGGTGTGCCTTCCTTTCAATTTACTGACAAGACATTCAGCCTTACAAATAAGCTTACTGATTCGGAGAGTACATTAGATTGCTGAATATCTTAGCATCAAATGTAAACACTCTCTGTGTCTTTCAGGTTGGCTTTGGGACAGCAAAGCCGGAACATGTAGAGGACTTCACTAAGGACATTAAGGACATATTGGTGATTAAAAAGACATCTAGTATCAATTCCAGTGAGAGTTCTCTAGCCAGGTGTAAACTGGTACAATCTTTAGGTGTTTGTAGAAAAGACGGTGGGAGACTAAAGTTCTGCTTGCGAAACCAAGGAAGACCGAGTTGCTTTCCACTGTTTGGAGGTTTGTATTCTATCATAGAGGGCACACTTGATGCTTGACACAGAGATAATCCTAATCTAAAGGTAAAATGCTAAGTGGATACTATATCTAGTATATGCATTGAGAATTATATTTGGTTTCTGAAAAATATGGAATAATATAAAAGGTCTTCAAGAAATTTGAAATAAAAAATAAAAAAATTAAAATGTTAAGTTTGGAAAGCCAGTCATATTAATGACATTTTTTGAAATCTAAAATAAACCTGTTTGTTTTACACTTCATTTTTCTATTGTCAAGTATTTTATGGACGAGCTGTCAGTGAGACTGGCTTATGCCTAACGTGCAACTGTGAGGGAGAAGCAGGCCCAGGGTGGCCTAGGTGTGCTTTGCCCAGTACTAGGTGCCTTCAGGATTCCTGGAACCTCTGCCTCATTCTTCCCTCCTACCTGGTGACACTTTTCACACTTCTGTTGAGTCTGATATTCCTCTTGTTTCCGCATTTCGGTCATTTTCACTTCCTGGAGGCTTTTGTCATACTCCTCCTTTAGCTGTAGCTCTTCTTGCTTTTCCTGGGGTAATATGACAGAGACAAATCAGGCCATATCCTGTAGACAGGAACCCTCCCTCACCTGAGATTGACCTGGATCACTACTAGGCTCAGTGAACTTCTCATTAGCAGGATTGGTTGGCAAGTAACTCCAAACCCAACTCTACCATCCTTTGAGCTAGATTCCCTCCTTAACCCTCAGAGTCCTCATACATAGCTGGGACTAAGCAATCCTCACAAAGGGGATGAATCATGAAATCTAGGCCAGCTCAACCCTGCCTTAGATTTCAAGCTGTTCTGAGCAAGCCCCCCCCTCCCCCAAGCAGGCCCAGGTCATAAACACACCTTTTCTTTAGCCTTAGTCACATCCCTGTAGTGGTAAAGCCAATGAGCCAAATACTCTATTGGGTCACTGGGTCGCACTCTTGCCACTTCTGCCAGTGCCTGGGTCAGGCTGTTTCCAAAGCACTTCTTCAGGTAGGCAGTTTCCATGCCGGGGACCTGGGAGGCATCAAATCAGATACTCTGGGTTACAAATGTGATCTGACTGTTTAAATTGACCCATTTGAGCTGGAGAGTTGGCTCAGAGGTTAAGAACACTGTCTGCTCTTCCAGGGGTACTGAGTTCAATTCTCAGCAACCGCATGGAGGCTCACAACCATCTATAGTGAGATCTGGTGCCCTCTTCTGGCATGCAAGGATACGTGTAGTCAGAACACTGTATACATAATAAATAAAAAAATCTTAAAAAATGGATCCATTCTAACAAACATGAGGTATTTTTGGATCACACTTGTGGTAGTTTTCCATTACAGTGACCTGTTATTTGAGATCATCAACTAAAGAAGGAAAGGGTTCTTTTGGCTCTGTGACCATTTGGTCTCATCATGCTGGGCCTATAATAAGGCCTGACATTGTAAGAAAAGGTGCACAGTGGGTAAGAGTAGCTCACTTCAGGAAGAAGGGGAAGGAAGGAAGGAAGGAAGGAAGGAAGGAAGGAGAAAAAAGGAAGGAAGGAGAAAAAAGGAAGAGAGAAACACATGCTCCCACCCCACATACAAGGGAGAGGAGAGAGAGAGAAGCTCCTTTCCAAGGGTGTGACCTTAATGACCTAACTGCCTTCTGAAGAGGGACACTAAAAAAGAAATCCCACACTAGCTCAGAATTGAGTATAATAAAAGTTTATTTATTTAGAGGAAGACTCTGCTCGAACAGGGAACAGCAACTGAATCCAGGAGCCGGAAAAGAGAGGCCAGATGCACATTTTACAGCAGCATATATAGTATGAGGCCACACCCAAGTGGGTGGGTAGCTTAAAGGCTACTGGCTGTAGGAATTCTTACAGTATCCTTCCACTAGGCTCCACCTCTTACAGACTCTACCATTTCCCAGTATTGCCACAGCCCCACAAATAAGCCTTTAGCATAAGACTGTTTGGGGGATGTTTAAGATCTGAATCACAACACTCTGCCCCTGGCTCCCAAAGGTGAGTACTTATCCTACCATAAAACATATATTCAGTATATGATATATATTCAGCATGTGATAATATTCAGTATGAGATATATATTCAGTGTATGATATATATTCAGTATATCTTCAAAAGTCCCTGAAGTCTTTTGCTGTTGATTTGGCTTCTGGTTTTGAGACAGGTTTTTGTATCCCAAGCTGGCTTTGAACTTGCCATCTTGCCTCAGTCCACTGAGTGATGGGACTACAAGCATGTACAACTGTGCCTGGCACTCAAGTCTTAATAGTCCCAGAACTATTCAAAAGTCAAGTTCCTGAGTCTCCTGTGAGACTCGGTAAAACTGGAAGATGTGAGCCTCAGCGAAAATCAACAGAAGTGGGTCAAGGTGGCACATGTCTGCAGTCCTGGCCCTCATGAAGCTGAGGCAAGAGGATCAAGAATTAGATGGAGCAGAGAAGCTTCTCCTTGCAGTGTACAGTGGTTAATATAGGCTCCTCACTGGTCCAAGTGCTGAGAATAAGTGTCGATTGAGTGTCCAGCCCTAAGTGGGACATCTGCATCAACCTCCACCCCAGGGTTCAAGGAATATCATAGAAGAGGGATGGAAAGAGTATAAGAGCTAGAGGGTGGGAGTGGGTGCTGTGAAATGCTCTCTTCGTTATATGACATGGCACAAACTCGTTGCAGCTCTGGCTACCTATACAAGATCAAATTAGTACAATCAGCCACCACTCCAACAGGCAGCACTAATTAGCCTCAGTGTATTAATTAAATAATGAGAAGAGAGAAAAGAGAAAACAACTGCCTTGGAGGCCCATTTGAGGAGGGGGAGGATGACTCTGGGCTGGATGTGATCAAAATGTATTGATTAGCTGTGCAAGATATCTAAGGAATAAATAAATAATATCCTACTAAAAAGGAAAAGAATTTGAAGCCAGGTTGAACAACATAATGGGACCCTGTCTCAGAAAAGAAATTAAAAGAGCAAGTTAGCAAGTCAGTAATACATATTTCTAAGAAACAGTGGAGGTGAAGGATGATAATGAGGACCTAAAATTTCAGTTACTTAGGAGTCTAGGGCAAAAGGATTGAAAGCTCAATGCCTTCTGAGTGGCAGACCAAGTTCAAGTCCCTTGGCATCTTAGCTAGACCCTGTTTCAAAATGAAGCATTCTTAGAGGGTTAGAGGTATAATTTGGTGGAAGAGTACTTGTCTAGCATACACAAGGTCCTAGGTTTAATTCTCAATACTACAAAAAGAGCAAGAGGAGGAGGAAGAGGGGAAGAGGGGACAAGGTAAATGTAGTTGCATGGAAAAACATTTCTACTCCTAAAGGATAGAATAGACAAAGGAGAAATATGACTGCAACAAGATCAAAGCCCAGCAGGACAAACATTAAATCTTGTAACTCCATGTCTACTAGCAGAGTAGCATTATAAGGGCTGTAAGTGCTGGGCAGACTCTTTTGCATACCTGGCTGGCAGAAGTCTACACAGCCTCTCTCTGGGGCTAGCTCTGCTGTGCACATTTCTGGCATCTCTATCTTTCTGGGCCCTCCCTTGGGGCTTTCACTACACAGCTTCAGATTCTGTCCATGCAGGAACTGCCTGCAGGGATTCTGTCACATATGCTTGATCTTCCAGGACTTCCTTTGGGATTTAAGAGGAAGCCTTCATGACGCCATCATTCATTTGTTCTGTGTGCCTGAAAGAACAGCAGGGCATGGCCAATGATAAAATCTGTCACTAGTATGAGCAGTAGTTGGGCCCACTTGGACCATAGATGCAGAAGTTTCTGAATGTCTAGGTGGCTAAATATAGGGAAAGGAGCCCAGGGAAAGCAATTACCTGGGTATTTCTGAGCTCCCAGAGTCCTCTAGGTCCTCTTGTCAATCAAGTCTTAAATCTGTTATGGATAGGAACTTGTTGGCTCTTGAGATGCCCTCAAGGGATCTGTTCAACTATGCTGATGTGAGGTACCCGATTATGTCTTCTCTTCCTTTGATGTGTGTGTGTGGGGGGTGCAGTTGAGACAGGGTCTATGTAGACAAGGCCTCAAACTCTTAGAGATCTACTTGCCTCAGCCTCTTGAGAGCAAGCATTAAAGACAAGCCTCATTGCATCCATGATGTCACTATCCTTGGCAATTATGTCCTCCTTGGATGTGGTCATAGAGATACTTCCTTAAATTGCAAGTTTTTCAAATTCTTCTACTCTGTTCTCTTTTTCCCACATTTCATGTTAAATCTGGTGAAAAGCAGCCAGCAATGCTTAGCCTGAATGCTGTACTGTCCAGCAATGTCTCCTGCCTGGTTATTCTCACCTTTAATTTAGTCTCACGTAAAATTTCAGGGCATGGACCAACCACGGACAAGAAGTTTGCCAGAATACAGCACAAAGGGCCTCTCATTAGCTTTCAATAGAATCCTCATCTCTCTCTGAATCCACATGATCCCCTCCTTACATTCCACATATGTCCTATGCTTCACATCCTTATTGTCAGGTCCAGAGGAAAGAAACTCCACTTCCCCAAATTCTGAAAGGCAGAAAAGACAAATGCCTATCTGTGGGGTCTATTAGCATACCAGAGTGCATGCTGGCCTTCAGGCTCCCTCAGTATCCCAGGGTCTGTTGCACATTTCAGAGTCCACTCTAGCATCCTAGCTCTTCTCACCTCCTGCCCTACATCGAATTCTCCTAGCTCACTGGCTTCCCTCCCCCAAGAATTCATTCTTCTTGTAGTCCTGCTATTTTGTCTATGTGTTTGTCTGTCTCCCTCCCCCCCCTCTGTCTCTCCCCCACCCTACCTCTTTCCCTCTGTCTCTATGTTCCTGCTTCTCTCATGGTCAGGTCCAGTCCATTGGCCATTGTCTCTCTACTCTGACTATTCTCCCCCTCCCATCTACAAGAAACCTTCCTCCTAACCATTCCATCAAGTGATCATATCGTCAGCTTACATACTTCTTGGTACTCTGGTCTTTGAGCTCTTGCCAGAACTGCCCATCAAGTTCTGCATATAGCAGTGTAGGCCTGTTTCTCCAAAATTTTCAAAATTCCTTCCACAAATTCCAGAGATTTCTGAAGCATATCCTCAAGTGATCAAACCAAGGAGCCTGATTTCGTGGCACCAATTTTCATATTAGTAAACTCTGCTGCTATAGCAAAATGCCTGAAGTAGTCAACTAAAAGAGGCAGGGTCTACTTTCGCCTATGACTTTGACGTCTCAAGTCAGCCACTTGGCTTCATTGGTTTTTGGGACTCTGGAAAGGCAGCGAGAGAACTTCAGGGTAGGGAGCAACATATTAAAACAAAGCTGCTCACTTTATGGAAGTAAAGAGAGAGGGAGGAAGGGGTGGGTCAGTATTCCACAGTTCCCTTCAGTGGCATACCTCTGATGATGCACCTTCATCCTGTAGGCCCTACTCATTAATGATTCCTTCAGCCTCCAACAGTGCTTACATGTATAAAGTGACCACATGACCTCTCCATGGTATGATTAAGGGGAAGACTTTTATTGGAGATATGAATGTGTGAACAGGCAGAGCTGGAAGAGCGGGTAGCGGGTGGGAGGTGGGGGCAAAGAATAAAGTAGAACATGGCCAGCAAACTGGACTTGACCAGGAGAAAGAGAAGCAGGAGCAGAGCAGGGAAGAGGGGTGGGGGGTTGAGAGCATATCGAAAATAGCAGGATTATAAGAAGAACGTACAGCTGGGTGGAAGGAAGCCCATGAGTTGGAGGGAGTTTAGGGTTGGGAAGGAGGCGAGAAGAACTACTTTGGAACAGGTACCTGTGATACAGACGGGGAAGGAGCGGGGAGAGGGCAGCACCCACTTTATGCCAATAGGCACTACAGGTAGCCTCCCCCAGTGATACCGGAAATGTAGAGGGGAACCAGCTTTGGCTTCAAAAGTTCCTGAGGAATGCTGGCTTTTATTTAGCCATCAGAAGTCCTCCTATAGTCCAAGTTGAGCCCATTTCTGGATATTTGGACTGCCTTTTGAAGTTTGGGGGGGGATTGCAAGCCTTTAGCACGTGGCTTTTGCGGATCATTTAAGATCCAATCATAACGCTACCTTTCTTAGAAGAACCAACCAAATCACACTTGCCGATAGCTGTTACAGTCACGTGGGCTTCTTTCCAAAGGCCTTTCAGTTGGAATATGTCAGACCATGAGTCCAGGTGGCTATCAGTCTTGAGAGGGCTTGGGGGGTGAAAGTTTTTAACTAACCCACATATATTTGCCCCTAAGTGCAGAGAAACTCTGGCTAACAGCAAGCTGTGCTATTGTGAGGTTGGAAGCCAGTCTATGACATAGACAACAGAGGCTCATTTACTTTACAGGGAGCGAGAAGGAAGAAAGCGATGGGCCCACCACGCCCCAGCTGACACACGCTCCCACAGCATCACTTTCAGTGGAGATGATGCTCGAGATTTCCTAATAGGTGTCAAGAGTGGCAGATAATGCAGCCGGAGACCGAATGCCGCACTAGGAGCAACGGTGAACCAAAGCAGAGCCACAGCAGCGCAAACACCTGTGCCAGGCCTGGTGTCACCACTTGCGGCTGTGCAATCTTCAGCAAGTTGTTTGTTGTCAGGGTCTTGGTGTCCTTTGGAACACAGAAGCAGAATACATTCCTCATAACATTGAAAGGAAACATTGAGCTAGTAATCACATGGAAGGCTCCTAGCCTGGCACACAGCAAGAATTTAATAAACAAGAGCTATTATGAAACAAGACTGTCAGTACAGCCTTAGCACCCAGTCTCCATATCCCCATTTTTCTTTCAGCTTAAATATGGATAAGAAGACATGTTGGTATAGAAAACATTTATATTTCCTACCCCTCACTACTATCATAATCTGGGAAACCCAAACATTCTAGACGCAGTGAGCTTCTGGGCATTGTATCTTGATGGAAGAGGGTTAACTGTCTATGTGTTACTTTCATTGGTTAATAAAGAAACTGCCTTGGCTTTTGATAGGACAGCAGCTTAGATAGGTGGAGTAGACAGAACAGAATGCTGGGAGGAAGAAGGCAATGAGGCAGACGCCATGACTCTCCTCTCCGAGACAGCCGCAGGTTAGAATCCTCCTGGTAAGCCACCACCTCGTGGTGCTACACAGATTATTAGAAATGTGTTAGAACAATATGTAAGAGTTAGCCAATAAGAGGCTATAGATAATGGGCTAAGCAGTGTTTAAAAGAATACAGTTTCCGTATAATTATTTCGGGTAAAGCTAGCCGAGTGGTGGGAAGCAGCCCGCTGTTTCTTTTACTACAAAGTGGCACCCAACGTGGTAACTAAATCCACTTTAAAACCCGAGAGAGCTTAAAAATAAGGGAAAGTGAGTTTAACACAGATTTTGCTGTTTGCTAGGGCATGCTGTAGAGAGATTTCCTGTTTCAGCATTAGCTGCAGAAAAAAAGCTACACCATTTTAAAACGCGGCTTCCTGGGTCCTGCCGCCAGTACAAACTCCGGCTATGGAGCATTTCTGGACCTGGACGTTTGTGTGCCCACTCGGGGTCGGGGGCAAAGTAGCTGAGACTATTCTTGTGGCTTGGTTCTTCCTGCCTGAGTAGGCAGCGAGATCAGGTTTACTAGAAAGTGGCAGTTTTGAAATACCAGTTTCTGGGCTGTGCCGCATCACGATCTCTGTCTGGCTCCTGTGGGAGACAGAGCTTATAAATGGAACATTTGGAGTAAAGTGCTATGATTTGTTTGATGGCAACTAGACTCACTGTGTGCCTAAAAGGGGGTCATTGCGTGCTGTGGCTCAGAGGCACCAGCGGCTCCGCCATGTTGGGCTGGGTGGGGCAAGCAGGCAGTACCTGTTTTTGACCTAAGAATGTCACAGCTTTAGATTCTTAAGTACTTAGTGATTTAAAACTGCAAAACAAAAATGCTCTTAGATAGTAAAAAATTACAGATTCACAATAGGACAGATTCAGACTTAAAAAACCTCTAAATGGGTTACAGTGTTGGATGAGTGTACATAGGCTTGGGAGAGAGAAGAAAAGGAATATAGAGAATAAAGTTAATGTCTTAAAAAACAGGGTAAAGTCTTTAAAGAGACAGTGTACAGATAGTTATAGATTAAAAGAAATAAAGGAAAATAAGCCACGTAAAAATGGAAAATTCACAAAGAGTCTGGATTCTGTGTATTACTGTGTTTTCTTTGAATCTTTTGACTGTAAAGGAGCTAAGTACAGAGAGACATTTCATTATATGGGCTGCCAAGCTAAACCAGAATGGATTTCATAAGGGTATTATGACTTCAGAATTTGGGTCTAAGGATATGATGCTTTGGAGAGGGTCTGCTTGTGTTTTCACAGAGAATGAGACCCTGTGGATTGCTTCTATCCCAGTATGGTATGACAGACCACGCCCTCCTGAAAGGTTGCTGTGAACACCCTCAAGAAATTACTTTGCTCAACTGCCGACTGAGATGAATCTAGCACACAGGTTATACCATGAAAGACCTGAATAACAGCGCCCCTATTCAGCAGGAAGAACTTTGGAGAGAAATAACTATGCCCATATTCCCAAATATTGTTTATAAATGTTCTTTTACATTTAAAGGGGGATATGATATAGATATGAATAATTTGCATTTGTATGGATTTCACTTTAGTGACATAAATTTAAGGTCAATTTTGTTATATGTATATGTATTTCTGATATTGATTAAAGTATTGTGATTATGTAGTTCATTTTAAAAATGTAGTGTATAATTAGAAAATATAGGTTGTTAATAGATAATCATCGATAATAATCAAGCTTGTAGTCATATTAGTTAGATTTTCTAGATATATAGAGATATATTTCAGTTAGATAGGCATTCTTCATATCTTTCAAAGACTACAGAATATGGCATTTTAATGTTTTAATAACTTAGGGCTTTTCATGACAATGAGATACGTCTGATCCTGACAGCACAATCTACTTCAAGAGGAAGATGGGCATCGAAGAGGCTCCTTATGGAGTTTGTTAGCCATTTGGGCAAGAAACTGCTCTTGCCTGGACTGATGCATAAACTGGACACAAAGAACCTGCAGAAAGAGGACTGCTGAATTTGCCTAAAGGTGAGATGATTCTTTGGGGTTCCTGACTCATGAAAGAGTCTGCGAGACATTCTGCAGGACACAGCAGATAGTGACTGAACTGTCTTTGAAATTTCCTGCTTCATGGAAAAGTCTGCTGGATACTATGGGCCTAAAGGCTGAAGACGGATGCCCCAACAGTACAAAAGAACTTTGGGTGACTGTCCAGGCAGCGAGATGTCTCATTTCTAGAGTTTTGGAAGTTGCTTATTTCTTGTTTACTTAGGTAATATTATATCCTTGTGGGGTCTTTGATGGAGTTGAAGAATGGTTAGTTATAGTTATAGTTTTCCTTAGTTATGATAAAAGATAAAATTTTTAGATAAAAATATTGTAACTATAATTCTTGCTTGATAACTGTTTTGTTGTATGTAATTTTACTATGTTAAAGTTAATGCCTTTCTTTTTTGTTTAAACAGAAAAAGGGGAAATGATGGAGGAGGGTTAACTGTCTATGTGTTACTTTCATTGGTTAATAAAGAAACTGCCTTGGCTTTTGACAGGACAACAGCTTAGATAGGTGGAGTAGACAGAACAGAATGCTGGGAGGAAGAAGGCAATGAGGCAGATGCCATGACTCTCCTCTCCGAGACAGCCGCAGGTTAGAATCCTCCTGGTAAGCCACCACCTTGTGGTGCTACACAGATTATTAGAAATGGGTTAGATCAATATGTAAGAGTTAGCCAATAAGAGGCTATAGATAATGGGCCAAGCATTGTTTAGAAGAATACAGTTTCCATATAATTATTTCTGGTAAAGCTAGCCGGGCAGTGGGAAGCAGCCCGCTGTTCCTTTTACTACAGTATCTATTTAACTCTTTCTCTTTTAAAAAACAAGATAGTGTCTCACTATGCGCAGGCTAGCCTGCAGCTCCGTGAGTATTCTAGGGTGGCTTTGACTTGTGCTTCTTCTGACTAACCTTTCCCAGTGGTGGATGAGAGGTGTGCTCTACCATACCCAGCTTCAAAGGGGAATTAAATATTTTTCATTATCTTCAGGGACCAGAGATCTTTAGAGAAGAGATTGGTTCCACACTTGAGGCAAAGAAAGTCTAACCAGTCAGAGGCAATCATTACACCAGAAAGTAAGAAGACTCTTATCAAACTAAATGTTTGTGGGCATGGGAACCGTCTGGAAGACTTATTTCAAATCTGGAACCTGTGAACGTTACCTTATATGATAATGTTATGCTCAGATCACGGACTCTCCTAAAAACCAACTAGGAGAATAAATCCTGTATGTAAAAGCAAGGAGCCTTTGTTCTTATTCAAGTTGGAACTTGGACTCTCTGTGTGTCCAACATATTGGTGTGATTGGAGAGCCCTGAACTCAGTTGGGGTGGGTTTTTTATAAAAGCAGAAGTTGGGGTGAGGGATTTCTAAAGTTCAGGATCCCTGTCTGACTGGCATTTGTCTAGGGGTGTCCTGGTGAAAAGCTATGGGTGCATACTGGCAGGTGATCCTATCTACAATGGTTGGAACATTAGGAATTTCTTTTGGATGGTCTGTTCCTGGGTGATGCCGGGGTGGTCTCAGTTTGTGGTCTTTCTTGGAACCAGTATTGCCTTAGGGTAAACTACAGAGACTCAGGCCTCTGCTGAGCTTGTCATGGCTGGGCCCTATAAGTGACAGGAGCTTTGCAGTAGTGATTAAGGATCTTGAGATAGTGTATTGCACAAGCTGTTCAACTTAGTTACGTTTCTATTGATATGAAGAGACACCATGACCAAGACAACTCATAAAAGAAAGCATTTAATTTGGGGGCTTTATAGTTTCCGAGGGTGACCATTATGGGGGTCAGGAGAGTGGCAGCAGGCAGGAAGGCTTGGTACTGGAGCAGTAGCTAAGGGCTTACTTCCTACCTGCAAGTTGGAGGGGTGTGTGTGTGTGTGTGTGTGTGTGTGTGTGTGTGTGTGTGTGAGAGAGAGAGAGAGAGAGAGAGAGAGAGAGAGAGAGAGAGAGAAATTGGGCCACCTCCAGTGACACATCTTCTCCAACAAGGCCAGACTTTCAAAACAGTTGCATCAACTGGGGACCAAGCATTCAAAGATATGAGCCTATGGCAACCATGCTCACTGAAACCACCACATAGGCACAGCTGTAATTGCCATGACAAGACAGAGGAAAGAAACAACATAAGATTCAAGATCATGGGCCAATGTTAGCTTCTAGAATCCAGAAGACAAGGAAATGGAACAGCCCTCTATACACACGTGTTTAAAGCCACTGAGTTTGGGGTAGGTGCAGAGGCTGGGGGATCGGGGCAGGTCATCCTCTCTTTGTGCCCTTGTGGATGAACAATCTTCCAAACCCGGCTGCTCTGTGATCTGATGACAAATTGTTGATGTGCTTGGTGAAATGCAACTTCCATTATCTCAGATTCAAGATATATATATATATATATATATATGTATATATATCTTGAATATATATATATATCTTGAACATATATATATATCTTGAATATATATATATATCTTGAATACACACACACACACACACACACACACACACACACACACACACACATATATATAAATCTCCAGTGCAATCCCTGGCCACTGATGTAGCCCTCTGTTATTGGAGAGTCCTGTCACTGAATCAGCAGCTGCATTCCCGGGACACCTCCATTCCTGGGTCATTGAGTGACTAACACACTGCTTAAAAGTGACAAGCCCTATCTGTGAAGATGCTATCCCTGATACTTGGCACACACTAAGTACTCTGTAAATATGTCTGAGGGCTCTGTTGCTGGGAGGGGGGGGCAAAGGAAGGAAGGGCTCAGACTTTGCTGATCCCTTGAGTTTATGAGCAGTGCCATGATCACAGAAATTAGAAGATAACATGGAGACTCCTGCCCCACCCAGTGTGGTACACACACCATCAGGTCTGTATCCTAGTTTACTTTGTGTTGTTTTGATAAACACCAGGACCAAAAGAAAATTGGGGTGGTGTTGCAACCTTAGGGGTGCTATTCAGCGTATAGGTGACAGTCAGACCACTATCAAGGAAAGCCAAGGCAGGAACTTAACTTAATGCAAGAACATGAAGCAGAAACCACGAAGGGAATGCAGCTTACTGGTTTACTTCCCTGGCTGACCCAGCTACCTACCTTCCTTCCTTCCTGCTTTCTTTCTTTCTTTCTTTCTTTTTTTTTTTTTTTTTTTTTTTTTTTTTTTTTTTTTTTTTTTTTTTGGTTTTTCTGTAGCTTTGTAGTCTGTCCTGGAACTAGTTCTTGTAGACCAGGTTGGCCTCGAACACAGAGATCCTACTGCCTTTGCCTCCCGAGTGCTGAGATTAAAGGTGTGCACCACCACCGCCCGGGCCCAACCAGGGATAGGCACCACCTATCGTGGTCGTCCGACATAAATTGGCAATCGAGAGAACGCTTCACAGATATGCCCACAGATCATTCTTATGGAGGCAATTCTTCATTTGAGAGTGCCTTTTCCTAGGTACGTCTAGGTTTGTGTCACATTGACTAAAGCTAGCAGGGTAACGGGAGAAAGCTTAAGAGTGGAGGGTGTCTCTGGGCATCGTGGAGTTGCCTGCGCCTCTGAAAGGAATCTTAAAGCTTTCAAGTCACCTAGCAACTGTCCCCCAGCGATCAAAGGTGCCTCCTCCGACTTTCAAAGATCTGTTGATTCTCAGGGATCCTATCTAAGGATTCCTGGCCCTAAAGTCTCTGTCTCTCGGTTCCATCGCTCTGTCCTGACACTACTCCTCGGTGTTTCCCTAGGAAAATCTGGTTCTCTCATTTGCACGTCCCTTTTCCCATGGCCGCAAGATCCCGGCCCCTTCGTGGGCACTCCCGCCGCCCACCCTCCCATTGTCCCCTGCAGGTGTTCCCATACAATTTCCCTTTGCCCCCACTGCCTCAGTCTGAATGGAACCCTAGCTCTACACACCACCGTACACTCGTTGCCAGGCAACGGGACGCGACTCACTCGCCGGCGGCAGGGACCTGCGTCAGTTGCACTCACCAAGGAGGCTGGAGCGGTTTTCTTAGAACCGATCCTCTAGTGTCTCTGCAGATGCAATTCTCAAAATTACACTTTGCGCGAGTCTCGTGGATCTCACTCGGTGGCTGAGGGCGGGTTAGCTCTCTGGAAGGAGCCTTGGGCCTGGGTGACTCTTCGTCTTCCTCTCTTCCGGCTCCTCCTCCTTTTCATCCTCCTCCCCCTTCTCTGCCCTCTAGGCGTACAACACAATAGGAAAACTAAGGTAAGTATCTAGGTTAGTAGTTGCCTGATTGAATTTTATTTACAGGTAAACTGGTTATGTCCTAGCCCAAATATCGTATAAGACGTGTTATTCATCGTGTTCCTCTGAAACTCAAATTGAACTGGGTCTGCTGTAGTTTTTTTTTTTTTTTTTTTTTTTTTTTAAGTGTTGAATCCAGCGCTGCTGTCCAGGTCCCCTCTCTCCTGGGCACAGGCAGAGGAACTCCTTCCGTGGCTCAGGGAGCTACTCCAGGCTGGAGGCAGTTGTTTCTGTGAGAAGGACTTTCTTCTGTGGAGCTGGATGCGCACTGCTGTTTGTTGGGAAGTAACATTTCTTAGGGTAGGAGTGACGGCCATTATTTTCTCAGGTAGACACAGGAGATACACGTAGAACACAGGAGATAGGTGTTACAGAGATGACACAGGGACCACCTGTAAGCCCCACTGAGAATTCTCAGCAGCTGCCAGAAGTCCCAGATAGACCTTGGGCAACTCCTTAATTAGTTTTCCCCTTGATGACCATTGTCCGGTTACCAGGTTCCATGTTTTCTGGAGTATATTTCATGTTTTATGTAACTAAACTTCAAATGGTATTCAGATGTTCATGTGTCAATTTTATCTCTGGAGGATTTCCCACTGAAGAAGCACAATGGAGTCCAGTCAGTTGCTGTAATCCTTTTCTCTATGTGGTTAGGACACCAATGGCAAGTTGGTAGACCAGCTTGTCAGTTCTTAGGGCTACATTCATGCACACATACACATATTTCTTTGGTGGCAGAAGCAGTTTCTGTGCCACCGTGCATTGTGAGTCACTAGGGAACCACTCCCTATTTTAGAGAGCGTTTTCCATTCTCATAGACAAGATTCCACAGTGTTGTACCTAATTGACCCTCTTCTTGGATATTCAGGTGGTAGTACAGTCTGAGACTGCACCTTTGACATGGGATTCAAAAACTGCAATGGTGTACATACGGTGATATTTCTAGAGGTGATCAAATCACCCTCACCAATGTCAGTTTTATTTTCCCATCACTATTGCAGGCCAGGTTGATGTCTACAAGAGGCAAAAATGCCTTTGCCCAGAGGCAAGTCCTGGCACCATGTCTCCTCTGGCTGCTAGAGTTCTTGCTTCTCTCTCTCTCTCTCTCTCTCTCTCTCTCTCTCTCTCTCTCTCCCTTGTGAATGTCACTGTTTCTTTAGCAAACTTTAGCTTAGCTCAAATACCAACTTATCACAGAAAGTTTTCTTGGCTTTCCTGGCTTGTCTGAAAAGGGAGTCCCTGTTGTCTGCTCTTAAGCAAACATATTTCAGTTTTGATCTTGTATTTACTGATTTGTTATTAAAATTCATCTCATCTACTCATCTCCATGCCATATGAGGTCGGAGATAGTATTTAGGTCCAAATGCAGTTGCTTAGAAGGCAACTGACAGACACATAACATATGTTTAATGAAGCAATATCAGTAGCCTGCCCACTGTGACATATATCCTCACCTTAGCTTCTGCGAACAACCCCAATAAACTCACGGGGTCACAGGTCCGAGCTTAGATAGACTCATTTGCTGGGTCTGTTATTGTCTATCTACTTATGCTTCCAGAGTAAATAGAAATAGTTAACCCAGGAAGAGCCATGCAACACTCTTCATATCTGAGAAGACTGGGAATCAGCTGGAAGGGGACACAAACTTACTCACTTGCCGCCATGGAGAGGCAGTGGTGTTAGTTCCTTGGGAACCTAGAGGAGCCACTCTCCTAGAAGACAGACAGACAGACACAGGAGCATAGTATGCTCTCGTGCATTCTCTTTCTCTCCCAGGTACAAGAAGTAGGTACAAACCCTGTGCTCATCTGCCAGACCAGCCATCTAGGTTGTTTACTTAAGCTCTTTGAGTCTGGCTCCCTATCGGCCCGTTGCCTGGGAGGTTGTGGGTGTTAACTGGCACCAGCATAACTTGGCACAATGTGATGAACAATGCTGGTGTCCAGTTCTGACTCTGGGACTAAATGAGAACCTGCAGGATGGAGAAGCTATTTTAGCTAAGACGTCGACAGCGTCTTTTTGTAGACCATTTGAAGTTTTCTAGGGCCAGCTTGTTTATTTCATCCTTAATGAGAAGTACCCATGACTAGTGACAGGGTGGAGTATTCAGGTAGCCTTCTTTGACTTTACTCTTTGTTTATTTTGGGACTGGGTTTTCTCTGCGTATTTCTGTGTGTCCTGGAACTCATCTTGTAGACCAGGCTGGCATCTCAGACATTTGCCTGCCTCCAGAGTCCAGGGATTATAGGCAAGGGCTACCACTGCTTAGCTTGACTTTACTCTTATCTATGCCTACTCAGAACACTTTTTGGCTCTAATCAAAACTTTTGTAGACGGTTTTGTTTAGGAGTTAGAAATGGAATCAATATATCTTCAGAAGTGCCTGGGGACATGCCTAACTCAAGGTCTCGCAGAAGTGGCAAGAGTTCGCCCAGTGGATCCAATCGAATATTTAGCCTTGTGGATTTCTAAGTACAAGGACATTGTGACCATGGAGCAGCTGGTAAATATGGGTCTCCTTTGAGGAAATTAGAAGAGCATGAAAATTAGTTCACATCGTCTATGTTTTTATGTTCAATCTTGTTTTTCTATTACAAAATTGTTCATTATTTAAAAACTTTGGATATTTTGAATGTAGATGGGAAGAAAACAGAAAAAAGGCTTCTGCTTTGATTTTAAATATTTTCAACTCAGTATTGGCTTTTTCTGACATGTTTTCTACTTTTACTCGTTGTTTATATTCAACATACAGTCCTAATTGCACATTCTTTGTTTGGCTAAGGCATAAAACTCCCCCAAATTATTGCATAGTTTCCAAATGAATAGAGCGTGGTTTTCTTGCCCCTTCTTCTGAAGCTGGTGGGAGGGAGGCTTCTAACATTGCATTGACAGATTGGTCTCTAATGAGCTGCGTGCTGTTGCTTTTTCACCAATCGCTAGAGACAGAAAGAGATGATTGATTTGGAGCATGAGCGACAATTAGCACAGATGGAGCAGGAAATGATGGAGCGACTCAAAGCCGAGGAACTCTTGTTTCAGCAGGTGAGACAGGAGCTCAAATGCGATGGAAGTTAACAGCGGCACCCTTGGTGTGGTTCAACCCGCATCCTGAAACACTCCCTGACTGTGGTCACTTAGACATTGCTGCCTAGTATCCCCATCCTTGTTTGGTGAAGAGGAAATACCGTGAGGTAAAAAGGCCACCCAGATACCGTGTTGTTGTGGAAGCCAAGAGGACAACAGTCAGCGGTAGCACTGCTCGCCAGTGCTCATTCAATGCTCAGACAGTCTGTCTAGGATCAGTGGTGAGAGTGGGGCGTAGTGGGTAGGAAGGGGAGTGATGAGTGAGACAATGCTTTCATGGAGTGTGTGAGGTGAAGGGCAATGGGTTTTGTTTTCATTTAGGACCACAGGGAATACAATGAGTGACACTAGAAAAATAGAAAAAATGGTCCAAAACCTTTTGTCCACAGTAATAAGAGGAAATGGGTCTGAAAAACAAGTGGATGAGCCCTCCTTTGATTGGAGCTCCAAGACAAAGCATAGGTAGCCTCAGTATAGGTGGGTGCATTGACTTGTTACAGGAAGTTGAAAGCTGACTGTTTCTGTCTTCTTTATGAAGAGTCAACCATGGCCACACACTTAAAAATCAAGGAATGATGTAGGAGGGATGGAAAGAATGATGAAGATTTGAAATAATATCACTGGGAAGATGGAAGGGTGCATTGACCAAGCTTTATGTGTTGAACATCTCGAAAAAAAATCCAAAAATGTTCCTAAATATGAAACTTTTTTCATGCTTATGTGCTGTCAAGGAGTAGAAAATTCCACACTGTTAAACTTGGCTTCCCATAAAAAGTACTAAAATACATCATATCGTTACGTTCAGTTAGAAGGTAAAATATAGTTGAATTTCATGTTTAGTCTTGGGCACCATATCTGAGGCATCTCATTACAGATTCATAAATATCTCAAAAATATGAGCTCTGAACCACTTCCAGCCCTAAATCACATCTGAAACAAGATGCTCAACCTGTATGGTATAGCATTTGGGACCAAGCCATTCATAACAGTGCTGTCTGCTTGGACCTGCCCCTCTCTACAGAAGCAGGAACGTCCGTCAGCTGCTCTCCTTCCCTGAGACCATGTGTTCACTCTGGGAATCTACTTCACTTTCTTTGACGCATCTCCTTCACCCTACTGGAAGAAAACTTAGTGACACTAGAAACATTTCCCTAGCATGTTAGCCAGCAAAACAAATCTGCCTTTTGTTGAACCCAAAGCATTACATTTGCAGGGGCTGTGAAATGTCGGATAACATTCTACAGGAGATGCTCTGGCTAATTAAAGAAGTAGATTGGTGGGCAGACGTAGATGGGAGAAACAGAGTGGAGCCAACAGATAGGAAAGGGCTTAACAGGGAGTGGATTGAGAGGAGAAACAGCAGAGTGTTCTCTCTTGCTCCCTGAAGTGTTTGAGTTGGAGGCTGAGGATTTGGCTTCTTCCTTGACGTCATTTCCAACTCAATACTGATGATGGCTTCAGTGAGTAACTTGTTGGCACCTTGGGAACATGGTATTCTAAACAAAAGCCAGGGAAAAAACTGGACATGGTGGTGCATGCCTCTAATCCCCACACTGGGAAAGCAAAGGCAGGAGAATCTTAAGTTCCAGGCCAGCCTGGGATGTGTAGTGAAACTCTGTCAACAAAATAAAATTAAAGCAAGCAAACAAAAATCAACAAAAGCTGAGAGAAATTGCTCAAGAGCAGTTGACTTGATTTTAGTTGACAACTGATATTGCTCCCAGTGTCAACAAATTGACCAGTGAATGAAAGAAAAGAAGAAAGGAAAAAGGAGGCCATGACTAGGCCTAGGTATGGTGAAGGAGACGGTTTACAGGGAGATCATAGCCAGAGGCAAGGATATCAGTGAGAGTCCAGAGTGAATGTGAATCTGAGTTGGGCCATACGAGGAAAGGGAGGAGGGAAGAGCCAGGAGGATAGAGGGGGGACAAAAAAGGGCCTGGTAACCAAAATGTCTGGACTATATAGGGAAGGGCAGCTGAGGGAAGGGCACCCCAACCCCTGTGCTGGAAAAGTTTAGAATAGGAGGTGGGGTATGCTAACCATACCCTGTGACAGGAATGAACTGAGGGATGCTGAGAGAAGTGGGCAGCCAGGTCTGCTTTGATATGGTAGCCATTTGTCCCGAGTTGGAGACCTAATATCAAGCTTTCTCACTAAAGCCCAACAATCTGACAACAAAAAACCCCCTAATTTTGCAGGGGGGGGCACATTTCTTTGAGCATGCAGATCAACACTGTTCAAATTAACTCATGCTGACAAATGTCATTCTTTGCTTTGAGAACAAACAAGTTATTTTGGTAACAATTTTTGCAAGCTTCTTTTAATATCTATGAGGAAATTGTGCAATGATAAGAGGAATCAATATTAAATATTCTATTTTTGACCTTTGCTTTCTTTTCTGAATGAAAATAGTATTGTAAGAGTGCATGAGTGTGTGGTTTTCACAGGGGTGGGGAGCAGAGCATGTGCACACCATGGCCCACGCGTGGAGGTCAGAGGGCAACTTTGTGGGGTTGGTTCTCTTCTTCCCTTTTTACATGGGTTGTGGGTATAGTTGGTAAGGGTCACCGACAGTGCTTTTACCCACTTAGCTGTCTGATGACCCTTGACCTTTGCTTTCAATGTGAGTTAAGATTATGGGGATGTGTGCATCATCTGTGAACGATGCTTGTTGCCTTCTTTGAGTGTAGTGTCATAGCCATTATATACAACAAATCGAATTGTATTTTGTTATTGAGGTAAGAAAGCATTTCATGCCCCAGTGTGTCTCTAAAATGACAATCAGCATTTGTGTTGTCTTCTTTTCTTACTGTTTGTTTCTTTGTGACAAGGTGTTATTCTATTAGCCCAAATCAGCCTCCAACTTCAGATCCTCCTGTCTTAAGTTCTTAAAAGCTGGGATTACAATTGTGTGTCCCTGCGTCCAGCTCCTTTGTTTGTGTGATGACATCAGTGTCTTAAGTGCCACAGCACAGCTTTATCACGGCCCTCCAAAGACTATGGGTGGGCAGTGTTGTTGGATTCGTAGTGCCACCATGGTGCCACATGTGACCTTTGTGATGACCACTTCGCTCTTTTGTTGCCAGTGAAAAGCAGCCTTGGACGATTCACAACTGGATGAGCCGAGCTGCATTTCAACCAAACTTTATTTCAAGATCCTGCAGCTTGGTTGTTATATCACGTTCCTATATCATTATTCTTTTGATTTTATTTGCCGTCAAGCATTGCAGAATGTGCATGGTATTCTTGGCTTCTGAGCTGCACCCAAACAGGAGCTGTGTCCCATTTGGTCCACAGGCTTTGCTGTTGACATCTGTCCTAGTGTGGCATGCACACTGCATCAGGACCAAGTGCACTGTTAATCAGCTGTGTTTACAGATACACACTTTCATGGGCATCAGATTGTTCTCTCTTACTGCTTTGCATCCAAGATCTGGTTCTCTCCCAGCCCCGAATTCTCACTTCAAGAAAACCACATTAGTCTTATTTGTAGTTATAAGAACAAAAGGGACATAACTTGATTCTGTGATAAGATTCCTCCTATCTTTGACAATCAAAGAAATGTCTGTTTTTATGCTTGAAAGAGCAATCCTTATAGAAGCTGAGTGTTATTTGAATATAATTGTTTTCTTAATTTTCTGAAATTTAGCTGGGGTCTTAAAAGTGACACATAAGCAGGTGTGGTAGCTCCAGTAACGTCAGCACTGGAGAGGTGGAGGCAAGAGGATCGTTATGAATTAGAATCCAGTCTGGGCTACTTAGGTACGACCCATCCATCCTTCCAAACAAACAAACAAACAAACAAACAAACAAACAGGAGTGGTAGAGCTTATGTCTAGCTATTGTTCTGTTCTATCTGCCATACGATTTAAACGCCTGTGACCATTCAGCAGCAGCTGGCAATCCAATTGGAGCTGGAAATGCAAGAAAAAGAGAAAAAGAAGGCAGAAGAACTCCAGCGAGCTCAAGCATTAAGTAAGGTAATCTGAAGTTTTGTAAGAAACTTCTAGACTCTTCAGGCTGTTTCTCCCAGTTGTGCCAGACACCTGTTCCCCGTCATGCATGGGACTTTAAGCCTCAGCCTTTCTGTCTGCTCTCCTGTTTCACAACAGCGTCTGCAGTTCAGTGCCATAGGCAGCAAGTAAGGAGTTTAAGTCATCACGTGTGTGCCTTCGCCAGCCACAGGGGCCTCTAGAGGGACACTGTCGATGGCTTTGTCAGCAGACAGCTGTTAATTATGTTGGCTGATCGGAAGGTATTCTGGTGAATGAGATAGTGTGTCGCTCTTCTTCATGTTAGATATACCAAGAAAGTCATTTATGTTTTTAAAATCAGTTCTTACGTTGATTCTTATGTCTCTTATGAAAACAAACGGCACAGTGACTTCGTTTAAAAGAAAGCCCATTTTCATGTGTAATACATACATAAAATTAAATCTCTAGTTTACCCAATAATTGCTGATCTACTGAAAAATGTGTTCCATATAGGTCTGACTTCTGAGTGACTACACTTATGGCTGCTGCCTTCCCTCCCCAACTACAGCTCTCTTTATTGAACCCATAATTAAAACTGAAAGCAGAAGCAAATTTTATCAAATATATGTGATATATTTATTAATGTATTAAATGAGGAAAAAATAATCATTTGAAACGTTTCTTTTTTCCTTCCTTCCTCCCTCCCTCCCTCCCTCCCTCCCTCCCTCCCTCCCTCCTTTCTTTCTTTCTTTCTTTCTTTCCTTCTTTTCCGAGACAGGGTTTCTTTGTGTAGTGCTAACTGTCCTGGAACTCACTATGCATACCAGGCTGGCTTAGAACCCCGAGCTCCATTTGCCTCTATCTCCTGATTGCTGAGTTTAAACATATTTCTTTAAAACATATAAGGTGGTGAATTGAAAAAAGCATGAGATATTGAAGGATAAATTCAAGTATCTGTGCATAATTTTAATATCTAGACACTGGTACTGGCTTGTGCAAAAGGAGCATTTTTTGGGGTGATGTCCATGAGTTCACACACATATTAACACAGAAGAGGGTCATACCCATGTCTCCAGACAGCAAGCCTCTGTGACCAATCAACACAACTTTAACACGTTCATGTCCACATTGGCCTATCCCTATCTCACTCGCCGCTCAGACTCTATTGATCTACAGATGCACCATGTAAATTGTTGTTCTCAGACATATTTGAAGAATCCTGAGTTGAACAGGGGTTGAACTCTGGGGTGTTTGCCTCAGACCCTTTGGAGCAAGAGTCAGGAGTTAGTAGGATTGTCTTCCCCGCTGATGATGGGTACTGATTTCACCTCCCTCCTGGTGCTTTTGTTTGTGGCAAAGGATGAGGAACTTGGGTCTGATTGAGGTCCCAAGAGTCACATGTACTTTCAAACATTGAGGAGAAACAGATTTATTTTCTGGTTTTAGTTAAAAGAACTGGGTGAAAGATTAGTGTCAAATATTCATCCTTATGGTTTAAGGTAGTGGTCTTGTAAGAATATAAACTGCCTGGGGCTACTGTGTGGATTGAGAATTAGAACTTTCTAGAAAATCTAGTATAGCAACGCACATCTTTGATCTCAGCATTCTCATGGCAGAGGCAGGAGTATCTCTGAATTCAAAGCCAACTTGGTCCTCAGAGCAAATTTCATTTTTATTCCTGGATAGTCAGGACTATGTGGAGAAACGCTGTCTCAAAAAGCAAATAAATAAACAAAAAACTTCCTAGATAAAAAAAGAAATCATCTTTGCAAAATAGCACCGCAGATATTCCTGTAATTAGAGCGGCCATATGTGCAGACACAGATGAGTGATCTTCCAACTGCCAAAATGGCTCATTCGAGTATGAGTCATGTGATTTTGCTGCAAACGATGGAGGCCGTAGGAGGTTAGCTTGGTTAGAAGAACCTTCTCATGTAGGAGTGGCCTCCCATGCTGGCCCCAGCATTTTCCCCTGCAGCATGTGAGTATTGTTACGGACCTGTGAAGACCCCTTGGGCTTTGGAGAGTAACTTGGACATGGTGAATTCAATTAGGAATATGTCCTCCTATCTTCTTGTATATAAAGCCTGACTTCAAACTCTCTTTAAAAATCTCTTATTCTGAAACATTTCTTTAACATTGTTGCTTTTCATAGTTGCTAGAACCTTTGCTTAAATTTTAATGTTTCTTTCAGCCATTAAAATTCATAATATTTTTATTAAGTCTTAGAACATTTTATACAACTATCTTTTTATGCATTTTCCTTTTATTTTTGAGAACATAATGTAATTATATCATTTCTCTATTTTCTTTTCTCCCACTAAGCCCTCCCATATACCTCTCCTTGCCCTCTTTCAAATTCATGGTGTCTTTTTCATTAATTGTTACACATATATGTGTAGATATTCCTAAGTATAACCTGCTCTGTCTGTATAATGTTACTTTTGTGTACGTTTTCAGCGCTGACCATTTGAGATTGGACACTCAATTAGTGTGCTTTTCCCTGGGGAAGAGTATTTCTCCTGTTCTCAGCATTCCTTAGTTGCCTGCAATTCTTAGTGTAGGGTTGTGGTCTCATGGGCCATCCCCTGTCCACTTTGACATATGTATTATTGCCTTTGTTCAGCTCATGTTTGCAAAGTGATGCTAGTGAGACTTTATAGATATGGCTTCTGACATCACGAGGAGGCAGTGTCTCATAGCACCCCCCCATCCTCTGATTCTTGCAGTCTTTCCACCCTACCTGCTGTGTCCCCGGAGTCTTGGCTGTAAGAATTGTTTTGTAGATGTATAACCTGGAACTGCACTCCACACCTCTGCATTTTAATTTTAATTGATTGTGGTTTTATTTTAATTTAATTTTAATGTGGCTTAAGTTGAATTTAATGTGATTATTCTGTAATGGTCTCTGTCTGTCGCAAAGAGAAGTTTCCCTAATGAGGGGTGAGGACTTCGTCGATCTCTGGGTACAAGGGCAAGCATTTAGAGTGTAGTTAGGGATTATGCTGGTGTAGTAAATTGGTTGCAGGTTCTCCTTCAAGATCCATGAATTCGCTTGATCTGAGCTAGGTTTCCAGTACCAAGCATGATGCCACTTTTGTTAATCTGATCTTAAGAGATCTGGAGAGCGGTTGGCTACCACTAAGGTATGTGCGCTACTACTGCACCCTTAGAGTTATTGTGCCATCCTGCTCATTGCTGTGGTTCGTAGGCATTATAACTGGCTAGGACTGTTGTTTGTTTCCTTCCTTTGGAAGCTCTCATGGCACCTTCTGGTATCAGGAAAGCTTGTCCCCAGGGAAAAAGGCATTAAGGTCAGTTTCAGCTCAGGGCTGCGTGTCTGAAGTGTGTGATATCTTCAGCAATTGAGATTTAACCTCCATCTCTGGTCAGTCCTTGAAAGAGTTTTATTTAATTTTAAAGTGTTATGTCCTATTAGTATATAGCAATAAGTGAAGCTATGATCCATTGTTTTGTGTGCATTATATTCTAATCACTCCTTGGAAAGTGACATTGTTTTTTTTCTGTTAAACTGATCATAGCACTTTATACAAATAAAAAAAATTAAAAAGCCAAACTTGGAATAGAAATGAACTACATTCAGTGTTCTTATTTTTTTCTAGGAGATGAGTACGGAAAGCCTAGCTAGGGGTGAGGAGGCTATCCCGTCCGAGGTGAGAAGGAATAGCTACTGTGTGTTACGTGAAATGAACACATATCTCAGAACAGAAACCTTACTTTTGCAGCAGTGGCTAAAGTTCTAATAAGGGCACGTGTCAGGACTGCTGGTACAGGGTGAGCATGGAGGTGCCCATAGCCACCATAGTGCCTGAGGCTGGAGAGTTGTGACTCCTGGCACGCCTAAAGCGACATAGCGAGGACGCTGTTCGAATAAACAAAAGCAAAACCAAAATCCCTATGAAAGTGACAGTCCAAATAGATATTCTAACAAGTCACAAGTACGTGGTGCTTTGAAGTAGAACTCAAAATATATAAAATTTGGACATGCAGTATGTACTTTTATATTTTGAAGCTACAACGTCCTATTATATTGCACATAGAATTACTTATAAATTATGGATTTTGAAATTCCAAATGTATTTGAAGATAACTGTTAGTACTTCTTAACATAATTCTCTTATCATTTACAGGCATTGGTGAATTCTGCTAATTAACAGTGTTTAGTTTGTGTGCTTCATTCAGAAATTTTATATCAAAATTGCAAGAAAAACAACATGTTCATTTTGAAGGCATGTAAAAGTAAAAATTGACTTTTATGTCTGTAGGAATTAATGATGGACTCGGGCAAAACCCTTGCTGAAATAAGTGATCGGTACGGGGCTCCTAACTTGAGCAGAGTGGAGGAACTTGATGAACCCATGTTATCTGATGTAAGTACCAAAATGTATCCCAGAAGAGACTTTTTCATGTTGATGAAGTCTAGTATACAAGAGGTGGGTTGACAAATAATACTTTTCCCTCATGCAAAGAAGAACAAATGTGTAGGTGCTAACCAATTTTGAAAAAAAAATTGCACCTTTATTTTATGTGTATGAGTATTTTGACTACATGTATGTATATGTCTTTGTGTCATATGTGTAAGTTGCCAGTGGAGGCCAAAAGAGGGTGCCAGATTCCCCTGGGACTGGAGTTCCAGACATTTGTGAGCTGTCATATAGGTGCTAAGATTCAAACCCAGGTCCTCTAGAAGAACAGCATTGCTCTTGACTGCTGAGCCTCTTTCCCAGTCCCGCTAACCAGATTCTTAATTGGTGCTCTGCCTGTTGATGAGGCATATGTCTAACTAGATATATGATATAGCATATATAACCTCTATAGCTTCATAACTGTCTAAGCTTCTAACTATTTATAAACATCTGTATCCGTGCAATTTACAATTAGATTTTGAAAACACAAACAGAGCAGCATTTGATGTTTATCATTAGAATGACCAAGAGTTCTACTGCCCATCCCAGTGTAGTTCAAGACTGAAGGAAGAGCCTGTGCTAACTGACTCTGATTAGCAGGGGGCTGCCCTGAAAGGAAGGCCGTGTGATGGCTAACCTTGGCTATCAACTTGATACACCTGGAAGTGAATTTGAACTGCCTCCCTCAGATTAGCCTGTGGACGCATCTGTGGAGGCATTTTCTTGATTGCTGATTGATGTAGGAGAGCACAGCCTACTGAGATCTTGGTCTGAATAAGAAGTAAGGAAAGCGAGGCAATGAAATAGTAAGTAGTGGTCTGGCCTGGTCCAGTCTGCTATAGCTTCTGCTTCAGTTATTTCTCCATCATTCCTTGGTGATGAATTATGATCTGAACATGAAGGCCAAAAGGCCCCCTTTTTCCATGTTGCATTGGCCATGGTGTTTGTCACAACAGTAGGAAAACAAACTAGAACGGGCACATCTTGTTACCTCATTCTCTGGGCACTGAGAGGGTGAGCCATGATGAAGATGGAGGAATCTTGATGAGGAAAGAATTCTATGCAGAAATCATAAGAAGGGGAAAGACCCAGCTAGGAGAGAGCAAAGTGTGATGCATAGGTCAATAAGGGATGAGGTCAGAAGACAACAGGAGCCAGACCCTGAAAGGATTTGGAGTTCCTGCCTGGATCTCAGATATTTTCCTACAGAAAGTGGAGACCTCTATCATTAGAGCATCTGGCTACAATGGGGGAGAAGAATGGGGAACTAGGAGTGAGGAGATCAACCAGGTTTTCATAGCAATCCAGAAAGAGCATGAATGCTAACTGAGCTAAGGGAGGGAGCAAGGTATTGAGGAGAGTGTACAGGCTGAGAAGGCCTGCAGGCTGGGGTGGGGGGACCCACACAGAATTACAATATTTAATGGTGGCTACTGGAAGTAAAAGAAAAGATGTGTTTAGGTGTTTCCAAAGCTATTCAGAAAGCAGGACTAGAAGTGCACAGTGGTAGACAGTAGTGAGCTACAACTAACAAACAGCTCCATTCCTTTGAGCCCATAGGCCATTGGGAAGGGGCTATAAGAGACCAAGCAAGGAGACTTGAAACTAGAGATGGCAAGAAGCTGCCAAACAGTCCAATGTTCAAGATGAGCTTTAGAGAGCTGGGAGAGAGGTGAGACTTAATGGTAGGGAGCTGGGAAAAGCCAGATCACATGAGCATGTCGCTTAGGCAGTTGGGACTTAGGAGCAGAGGTAGTTATTGGGATGATAGAGGGTTTTTATCTGGTGGAGAGTTAGAAAGGAACAGGTATTTAAAAGGGAGACCACCTGGGGCTGTAATAGTCATCTGCATGCAAGGTGACCAGGACTAGAAAGCACAGATGTGACCAGAATAGACTTGAGTTTGGCTCAAGAGATGGGGAGAGGGGACCAAGAATGAATCCTAGCTTTTAGCCGTGAGCAACTGAGCTGTGAGTGTTATCCTGGGATGAGTTGGTGAACATAAGAAAAGCAAGAAGGGTTTTGGACAGGGAGACTTTAGTTATGGAGACATTGAACTTCTCATGATTCTGGGATCTATATGCACATGACCAAAACCCATTTTATGTATGGTATAGCTCTGGTAGGGACAGGAGGGCCATGCAGAAGATTCAAATTCAGCCGCCAAGGGTATGTGTGTTAACTGAGCTAGAGGAGGGGACATGGTGTTGAGAAATGAATACAGTGTGTGAAGGCCTAAGTTGTATGTAGGAAGGAGCCAATAGGCTTTCCAATAAGAGGAGCCTGGAGTGGAGAGATGACTACACCCTTAAAGGCCAAAGCTCACAATCAGCAGGACAAGGATGCTAATCCCAATGGCAGGTGGCCCAGGAAAGGGTGTGGCTCTTAGGAAGGATGAGAAAGACAAGGATAAGCCTTCACTGGGGGCATCAGTTATAATTATATACTACATGGGTACTCTTCTAAAATAAACCGGAACTTAAAAACATTCCTTTACAGGATCGAATTGACAGTACTTAAGCTCTATTTTCTTTTCTTTGTGTCTTTTCATTGCAGTAAAGTTTATTTATTCTGTATTTTTCTTTTAGGTTGCATTAAACATTGATCAAGATTTGTAAGATCAATCAACTGTGAAGAAATACTGTCTACCTGTTTCAGACTTCAAATCACAAGGGCCCTTATATGTAATTTACCCCCTCCAAACTTGAACTTTACTCTCCTCCACCACCAAATAACTTTGTAAATGGGACTCAACGGTATCCTTAAAACAGAGTTTTCTCAGTACATTTGGTTACTTGTGTGATCTATTGTAGAAGCATGACAGAATTTGCTGAAGCAGCAAAAAGAGGCAAGAGATGAGCCAAAAGAATGTACATCTCTACAAAGAAGAAAATTACTTGAAAAGAAAGTTCTAGTAAAGCAACTACTACTGAATGAAGGATGGAGGTCTCACGAGTTTCAACAAGTCTCAGATAGTGCGTCTGCTCTAGGAATGAACTGAAAAGCATTTTCCAAGTTGCGGGCAGGTGGCACCTCATAGCAACACTTAATCAAACTTCTATGACGTAGCCAGATTTGAATGGAGTATTTTCCCATTGCTCTGTTGGTGGGTGTTTTCGAACTTGGCTCAACTGTATCCACTCAAGAACAGGACTGGGGTTTCTTTTACTCTCTGTGCAATTTGGTATCCAGGTCCCATTCTTCTTTATAGGGTTTGTGAAAGTAGCATTGCTGAAATGAGTGTTCACACAGAGGCAGTGGAGTGGTGTCTGGAGCATGCTTTTCTTCCTTCCTTCCTTCCTTCCTTCCTTCCTTCCTTCCTTCCTTCCTTCCTTCCTTCCTTTTCTTTCTTTCTTTCTTGTTTGTTTTTCGAGACAGGATTTCCTCTGTGTAACAGCCCTAGCTGTCCTGGAGCTAGCTCTTGTAGACCAGGCTGGCCTCAAACTCACAGAGCTCCACCTGCCTCTGCGTCTTGAGTGCTAGGATTAAAGGCATGCACCACACTGCCCGGCACATGCTTTTTCTTGATCAGCCAGTAGGTTCAGACATTAGGGCACCATGGTCAGACAGATTTTTTGGTGCCTTTTAAATTTCAGGATATGTCTAACGCTCTCTGGAGAACTTTTACAAAATGCTTCCACATCTAAGGCTATGGTGTTGAGTTTTCAGTTCTTAAAGACACGGATATAAAACCACAAATGCTAGAAAGAAACGTTTTTGCTTTTAATGTTTTTGTATATAATATCATTTTCCCAAGCCATTGTTCAGTTGGAAAGTGAACTAGTGAAGAAACAGGAGAAATTTACTTATTTTTTTAAATGTATATATTATCATGTTCTACACGTTTTTCACAAAAAGCTCCGGAGAGATGTGTTCTCTAGGAATCTGTCAGGCACTAGGGTATAGCATGGCATACCATTATTCACACCCATGAAAAAAAGTCTGTTAGAGAAGGGAATGTGTAGTGATACTTCATTTACATTTTAGTAAATAAAGCTTGCCTGATGATCAGTGAGTAAAACAGCCCCACTGTTCAGCCTTACAGACTAGGCAGCATTGGCACACATCTTTAATCCCAGTAGTCACACCAGTTTACCATAAGAACTGGGTGGTAGTGGTGCATGCCTTTAATCCCAGCCCTTGAGAGGAATTAAGATGGGAGAAGACAGCTCTCACTCACAGTTTCATTTTGAGATTCTTGGAGGCAGGATTGCCATTTCAGACTGAGGTGGAGGTAAGAGCCAGTGGCGGGCTGTTTTGTTTTTCTGACCTTCAGGTTGAACCCCAGCATCTCTCTCTGGGTTCTTATTAATTGTGCTACAGGAACTGTGTCTTTGCAGGTCTACTCAGCGTCAGACTCCATCATGGTAGGCTGGAGGTGAGAGACAGGAAGGAGATGAGGTGAAGGGGGATGGGAGGTGATTTTTTAACTTCGCACAGCCTGGTACAGTTCTCAATGAGAATGGGTGGGTTTGGCTGGTCACAGGCTGAGACATTGCAGTTCCAAGTAGGGTACAGTCTTTGTTTAAAATACTCCGGACCAGAACTAGGTGAAAAGGGGAGAAATGGGTATTCTTTACCCTAAAGCGAGTTGGGTGTCAAATAGGGCAGCTAATCCTGGCTGTCCATCAGAGCCATAGACTCCCTTGCTGGTGGAAACTAGGCTCCTTTTGGTAGACTGTCTCTGCTGTTGGACCACATCCTGAGCTTAATATGAAAGGATCTGGATCTTCTGTCTGAACCAGGCTCAAGGATGCTGAAGAATCCTGGAGAGGAGAAAACAGATGGGAAAATGGTGGCTACATAGAATGTAAGCGTAGGTAATTGTCTTAGTCAGGGTTTCTATTGCTGTGAAGAGACACCATGACTATGGCAAGTCTTATAAAAAAAAGTATTTAATTGGGGTGGGTCACTTTCAGTTCAGAGGTTTGGTCCATTATTGTCACTGCAGGAAACAAGACAGCATGCAGGCAGACATGGTGTGGGAGAAGGAGCTGAGGGTTCTTACACCTTGGCCTGTATCATCAGGAAGTGGTCTGTCTCACTGGGCATGACTTGAGCATATATGAGACCTCAGAGCCCGCCTCCACAGTGACACACTTCCTTCAACAAGACTACACCTACTCCAACAAGGCCACACCTCCTTACAATGCCTCTCCCTTTGTGGGGTATTTTCTTTCAAACCACCACAGTAATTGAATTAATTTCTTCCACTGTAAAAGATGAGACTATTAAAAATGAAAATATTTGCAGACACACTGAATCTGGAATGGGAGGATGCTGATATTGAGCAAAATTAAGGATCAAATTATGGATCAGTATAATAAAAAGTATACACAATTAGGCAACTTTTGTCTGTTCTACCAGCTCTCCACTCTCTCTTTTTTGAGAACCCCTAGATTTATCCAGAAGAGAGAGTTTTGAATGTCATTACCACAAAGAAGTAAATATTCAAGGTAACAGAAACACTAATTGTTCCATTAGTTGCTACCTATATGTATGTATGTATGTGTATATATATATTTAGCACACATAAATAATGTAAATTATGTGTTATTAAAATAAAATACTTCAGGGCTGGCGAGACAGTTCAGCAAGTAAAAGCCCCTGCCATTAACCCTGACTATCTGAGTTCTGTATCCTGAACCCACATGGTGGAAGAAAACATTCCCGCATGCTGTCCTTTGATTTTCACATGCATACAGCATGTGTGTGCCTATACACACATAACACACAATACACAGTAATACACAATACACAATAATACACAATAAATACGCAATAACAACATTTCAAACTTTTTCATATTCACCTTATTTTTGTGTCTGGAAATCTTCAGATTCCTCATGGGCAATGAGAAATTGTATTTGTATTACCTTAACTACAATTAACAGTTAACTACAATTCCTTGTGTGAAAGTAAAATAACATTTAACTGTTTTGTTGATTACCAAAGTTAATGTATGTAGAGGGTTTTTTTTTTCTGGATTTATTTTTAAAATCTAATTGTGTGTGTGTGTGTGTGTGTGTGTGTGTGTGTGCCTATGTGTGTATGCTCACTCGTGCAAGGGCAGATGTCTGTGCTCCGTGGTGTATGTGTAGAGGTCAGAACTATACTGGGGACCAGGTTCTTTCCTCCACATAGTTAAGCAGTGTCTCTTGTTCCCACTCTGCTGCATATTCTAAACTGACTCTGGAGCTTCTGGGTAATTCTCCTGTCTTCACCTCCAGTCTCACAGCACTGGGACACACGCTATGAGGCACAGGCCACCACAGCCAGCTCTCTCCCCCATTTTTAACAGAAGTTAAAGGTCAAACTCAAATTATCAGGCTCATATGGCAAGCACTTTTATCCATCAAACCTTCTCACTTAACCTGGTTTTCCTTTAATCGATGCTCATTTCTATGGATTCATGGTGTTTAATTAATTTGCTATTTTTAAATTGTACAGCAATTATGATGATGGGGGGTGTTATGCATGTGCCTATACTTGTAGAGGTCAGAGTTTGGCTTTGGGGCCTTTTCTCACTTGTTCTCTGCTTTTTAGCTTTTGAAACAGGTTCTCTTCAATGAACCTGGAGTCCACTTCTTGGCTAGACTGGCTGGTCAGTGAGCCCTCAAGACCCGCTGGGGCTACAGGCAGGCACACTCACCTTTGACTTCTAGGTGACTGTTACACATCCAGATGTAGTTCTCATGCTTGGACAGTAAGCACCCTGCACACGCAACTCTTTCTCCAGGTCCAATACTTTAAAACTGTTGGGCACGCAGATTGCCTTTGCAGAGGACCCGGATTCCGCTCCGGCACACACATCGAGAGCTAGGACTGTCTCCTGTTGCTCTCTCTGACTTAGAGAGTGTGACAAGAGGCCTTGTCGGGGAATATGGGAACTGGCACAATGGTTATATCTGCCAGGAGACTGGCAGCTGAACCACGTGATTCATGTATACAAGGAACGTGTTACCGAGCGCCCTACCCGTGGAGAAGACCAAGATGTAGAGAGGACGGGAAGAAGCAAGTAACAAAGTGAAAGCAGGAACCTTTTGAAAAATCCAGGAACTCAGATATAAAGGACTCATTAAGCTGTACTTGTCTCTGTTAACGTGCCAAGCTGTAACGCTTCTTGTCACCACGAGAAGTCACAAAGATTCAATTTAGGTCCTAGAGCTGCTCCTTGCCTTACAACGTTGGACAGCTCAACCAATCCACACGTACTGTTGCCATTCTGCCAACCATTATAATTCAGCCGAGCCCAACTCAAACATGACGGGGACACTTACTTTAAGCCTATAGTTAGACAGGATCCTTGAAAGCCAAAGTTACAACAAAGGGTTTCATACCTGTGAGGCTGCTTACATGATGTGTGGAAAGTGAAATCCAGAACGGTTGAACAGGTTCCTACCATTAAGCCACAGAGCTGAAGGTACATGCGGGCTTGAGGATATTGAAACCATCTCACTAAGATCACTGGCTGGGTGCTATGATGGCGTAATCATCAATTTCTCCCTTTTCTGATGAGACTCAAGTCCAGGAAGCAGAAGGTGCAAAGGTGTCAACACCCACTGTTTGAGCAGGTGCAGGATTCTTTGGGCAGATGCCAAGTGTTGACTGCGCCATTTGTCCCCCCCCCCCCCCCTTTGATGTTGTTTCTTCATGGTGAGCAAGAGCAGCCTGCGTCTGTCTGATCCCGTGAACCAGTGTTGTCCACCTTATCTGATATCTGTCCCCTTTGTTGAGAGTGTCCTGTCCCACTGCCAGGGTCTTTGTTGTGAATCTTCTTGCTTTAAATTCTTCCTTTTCTTCCATGTTGTGGTTTTTGTTGTCATCCGATTCCTTCAGTTCATCATTGGAAGCTCTTCAGTCTCCATGCCAAGGGGCTTGTGAAGATCTTTACCAGCGGTCAGTTCTGGAAGTTTCCCAACTAACTGTTAGCCTAAGTCTGTTACAAGTCTTAGGTCACGTACTAATTAAGCCTGCTTCCTCACAGAAACCGTTGAGAGTAGAAATCTTGCCAAACAAAGCTGTGACTGAAGCTTTTTACCTCAGACTCCTGCCATCCAGCTTACTAAGGTGCTAATAAGCCTCGTGCATTGAGGACAACCTTAACCTTTGGATGTGTTTTTAAATTGTTCTTCCTATAGTGTGTCTGGTGTAAGTTCTCTCTCTGTAGCATTTTGGACAGCAGAATGTTAATATTATTCAAGGATCCTGGCAGCTTTCATCCATATTTGATCGCTTCTGATGACTTATACAACCATTCGCTGTAAATAGGATGCTTTGGCTAAAGCTCTCGCATTGGTCCATTGGTCGGCTGAACGAATGCAGTTAAGTTGGTGGTAGACACAGAGCCTTTACGCTAGTATGGATGGTGCCCATGTGCTATGGCTATCCATCAGACCAGAAGACTCTTGAATGAAATGCTGTCCTTGTTTATAGAATATTCTTGTCTATAGTATAAAACAGTTCAAAAACCAGTCCTTAGGCAATGCTGGTGTTACCCAGGCTCTCTCTTTCTGGTGATAATGAACAGGGAAAGTATGCTTGCTCATATTCTTGAATGTTCTTGTCTTCTTTAGCTGTAGGAGGATTTTTATTTGTAGCCTGCAACATCTCCACCCAAAAGCAGCATCTCACAGTCTTTAAATGCATAGTCTTTGTGCTTCCAAGACAGGATCATTTCATCAATGTTAAACAGTTGTTTTCACAGATTTTCCTCAACCACAGTAACCCCAAGCAGCTTACTCATCCTTCTGCATCAACACTTGCTACCTACTTCAGGTCTTCAGATTTGGAAGATTATGAGACTACAACTCCCACTACGCAAGCCTGGGCTGGGACAGAAAAACTTATACTCCCTCCTGCTTTGCCTTTATTTTATTTACTTAGGAAGAGTCTCCCGTAGCCTTGAGCTCCCGATTCTCTTGCCGCCACCATCACACCCCAGCTGAGAATTAGTATTGCTACCGCGTTTCCAACTTCAGTGCTTGAGAGTCAGAAGTGGAGCGTTAGGGTACACAAGGTACACTTGTGAAAGCTCTGGGCACAAGTTGTGCCCATTCTCAAGATCCTAGTTAACATTACACTGCTTTCCAAAGTCCTACTGCTCTCAGCAGGCTGTGGGCTTCCCTATTGAGGTGGCCCTCCTGGTGCTTGGTAATGCTTCACTTCCACCATCCCCCACCACAGGGATACACTTTGCAGGTTCTTTGCGGTTTAACTCACATTTTTTTCTATTACTAGTGAGACGCAGCCTCTTCTTGTGTTTGCTGCTGATTGATTTGCCCATCTGTGAACGGCATGCTCAGTGTTTGCTTACACACTGTATTGATTTGTTTGTCTCTGTCTTATTGATTTTCTTTGTTGATTATGTGTGTTGGGAAAGTGTTCAGGTGGTAGGCCGACTTTACCTGTTTTGCCATGCTTATCGCTTCGTAAAATTGTTCAGTTTTATTTTATTTAAATATCGCGTTCATGTTTTCATTCTTTCATTAATTAATGAACTGTTTTCAAATCTTCTAGGGTAGATCACTTGATCAAAGGATTATTTTTTCAAGTTAATTCTCTGTCTATCTGATCTCTGTCTAAACTTACAATTTAAAATTATAGCAAAGTGTGCTTTTAGCAGTTGTACCAAATAATACGAATTTTGGCTCAGGATTTGAATGGTGGTGGCAAATGGCATTTCAGGTACTGAAGTTAAGTGTGTTTGCTCCAGTTTAAACACGTCAGCCTACTTCCAGCTGTTTGGTTGAAAGTGAGACCACATCCCTCTAACACCCCTATATCCAAGATGTCTGGGATGTTTGGGTGAAAGCGTCACTCCAGCCCCTGGCACCCATCCTTGGAGTGCCAATGGAGCAGGCATGGAGCAGGAAGCTTCATTTCAAGCCCCCTCCCCTGTGAATTCCTATGGTCCAGATTCCACCTCTGGGAAAGTTTGCCAAGCGCTGACCCCTCCCCAGGGAGGATGAAAACCACTGCCACAGGCTATTTAGGCTCCTGCCCAGAAAAGGAAATATTCCTAATATATGGAGGTCTCCACCGAGGGAACCTGTTTTCCCCATGAGCCCAGGGCCACTTGTTGGGAAAACGTCCTTCTTGTATGCTCTTCACCAGGCTAAGATCAGCTTCATCTCAGTGAGTTCTCCCCCACCCTTATTTTTTGCTCTATTCCGGTAGGACTTCGGGACCCATTCGCATTTATTTTTGTTGATTTTTGGGCTTTCCGTTGAAGCCACAATCATGCCGTGAAAGCCAGGCCTTGCTGAGAGGTGGAACCTCCATATATTAGGAATATTTCTTAAGGACGAGCCTCTCCACTGATGCAAATAAATCTAATCAGACCAAATTAGACCAAATAAAAGATGCCCATGTTTAATGCAGTACTCCTGGGTGGCCCACCGGCCAGGGAAAGAGAGAAAGGGAGACCACGTAAAACCCGGAGACCACGTGTTTCTTTTCTGGACGGCAGCCTGAATAGCCTGCAGGAGGGGTCCTGACCCTCCCTGGGGAGGGGTCAGCGCTTGGCGGGCTTTCCTGGAGGTGGAGTCAGGACCAAGGCAACTCACAGGGGAGACGGCTTGAAATGGAGCTTCCTGCTCCATTCCTGCTCCATTGGCACAGTCTTGCCATTATTTTCAGTGTTTTAACTTCTTTTCTTTGAGGTCAGTGTGGGAGGTGGGAGAATCCACAGCTGGGAAGTACACAGAGAGACTGGCCATGGTGATGGATGGCTTTTACGGGTTACAAGAAATGTTCACATGCTCTGGAATGACTGCCACAGGGCCATTCCTCCTACCTAGCTGTTTGCTTTAACCTATTCTGTTTTGAAATTCAGTTATCTCTGACATTATGCTTCTCTCATTTAAAAGGAAAAAAAAATCACCTACTACCCTAACCCTACTGCATTATCTGGGCTGCATTTAGTTTAGATAGCACCTGTAGTTTATAGTGGAAGAAGTGCTAGCTCCAACACCATGGTCTGGAGACCAAAGGAAAGGAGTGTGACAGACATGCATGCTGTAGAAGTCTGAGGGCTGAGCAGCTGCTCCAAGAAAGGCATGGAAGGGCTGCCTCTGGGGAAGACGTGGATGGCAGATTCAATGTTAGTCAACCTCTGGCCCACAGTGTGGTGCCGAATCCAGTCCAAGCGCTGTGGTCGCTTTGGCCTTTCTGATGTCTGATGACTCTATAGGCAAGGCTTTGCTGCCAGTGATAATTACAAATCAGAAGACACTGGTACAATAACCCCAACACTTAGCAGACAAACAGAAGAGAACCAGGAGTTCAAGGTCATCTTTGGCTATGTAGGCGTTTGGGGCCCAAGGTGCATAAGAGACTTGGGAGGTAAAAATGGTGAGGCAGCAGGATGATACAGCAGGATGGGGAGGTGAAAATGGTGGGGCAGCAGGATGATACAGCAGCAGTACTAGCTGCCAAGCCTGACGAACTGAGTTTGATCTGAACTCACACAGTGAAGGACAAAACTCTTTCCTTCTAAGCCAGTGGTTCTCAACCTGGGGATTGAATAACCCTTGCATATCAGATATCCTGTATATCAGAATTACAATTCAGAACAGTAGCAAAATTATAGTTATGAAGTAGCAACGAAAGTAATTTATGTTTGTGGGTCACCACAAATAAGGAACGGTATTATAGGGTCGCAGCAATAGGAAGGCTGAAAACCATTGCTCTAAGACACCCTCTGACTTCTACACAGAACTTTGGCATGGCTGCTCACCCTCCCTGCAAAGTAGATAAATGAATGCAATAAACAAAATTAAACGAGTGAAAGCACATTATATGAACAGCAGAATTAGAGATGCGTTTCCTTCATCTTTCAAAGATGCTTTGTTTATTAATTATAGAGATTCAAAGTCAAGGTCCTCCTCCCCATAGAAAAGCAATGGAACTGAGGGGAACAACTAAATAATGAACTAAATAATTGTGTGTAAGTAGCCTTAATAGGTGATCAAAATCACCATTTATAGGGAGCTACTTTTATTATCTTGAATTAATCAGGAAAGGGGAATTGAAGCCTGTTTGGTGGACAGTACGGAGCAGTGAAATAATACTTGGAATAAGAAGAGCTGAGTTTAAATGTCATACCACTTACTGATCACAGAACCTGAATAAATCATCTAATCTCTGTGGACCTGAGCTTTTGCCTCCATTAAATGGGGTCAGTACTGATCGCAACATACATTGTGAGAGCTGAGGGGGCCAATGTATGCAGTAATATTTTATAAGCTGCAAGATATGATATAATTGTTGATAGGAAAAATTGTTAGCAGAAAAGACGAGTGGGCAGCTGTCTTCCACATAAATGTTTTCAAACTCTACTCTCAGCTCCTCACTCAGACAAGTTTACAGACATTTCCAGACATGAAATATTTTGAGGCCAAGTCTTGTGTAGTTTTTTTTATGTGGAAGCTTGGGTGGGAGAGATAGGCTGGACTAAATATAAGTGACTAAAGTATTTTAGCTTCTTATTTCATACAAAAATATTTAAACTCGAACAATTCAATTCTAATATATATATATATATATACGTATATATATTACATATATATATGTAATTCCCTAGGGAGATAGCTGAGGAGAAGGTTCAGAGGGTAAAATGCTTACTTTGCAACCATGAAGATCTGAGTTTGATCCCCAGAACTAATTTAGAAAACTGGGCATAGTGGCATTCACTTTTAATTCTAGCACCGAGAAGGCAGAGACAGGATGATCCTTAGGACTTTCTGGTCAGCCAGGCTAGCTGAATCAGCAAGCCTCAGTCAGACCAGTAAGAGAACTCATCTGTGAAATATAGAACAAAGTACAGGGTTCCTGAGAAATGACATTCCAGGCCATCTTTTGCTCACCATTCACATATACACATATTAGAATACAACCATTCATACATGAGCATACCCAGACACACATACACAAACACACAAATGAGAGACAGACACACAGAGACAGAGAGATACACAGAGAGACAGAAAGAGAGACAAAGATACAGAGATAGAAGACAGATAGGCAGGCAGGCAGGTAGACAGACAGACAGAGACAGACAGACAGACAGACAGACAGACAGACACACACACACACACACACACACACACCCAGGGGGAGGAATGAAGAGGTAAGGACTCTTGGTATTCCTGCAAAGTTTAGTTCCCAGCTGTATCTGTAGTTTCAGGAGATCTGACATGCTCCATAGGCATCTTCCCTACAGACAGACAGACAGACAGACAGACAGACAGACAGACACACACACACACACACACACACACACACACACACAGACGTAAAGAAAAATAAAATAAATATAAGATTTTCTAGAGCACAAAAGATAGTAAAATACGGAGATCTATCATTTTTGTGCCCCCATACTTTTTGTCTTTGAAGTGTTACAAATCCCTGTTTTGTTGACGTGACCGTGGTTTGTTGAGTAGAGAAGTAGCTCTGGGGAAAGCATGACTTGTCAGTGACTTTGCCACAGCCATTGATGATATTACACAACCTTAGGCTGATGACCTAATAGCAGCCAGGGAAATCAAAGACTGAGGTCATTCAGTTTTGGCAGTGCGCAGTTTCTAGCTTCCCTGTCTTTGTTGTTGAATTTTGACGAGTCGGCTTAGACAAGACTATTTCACATTTCTATAAATTCAATAAGGGTGGTGAAGACCATCTTCAGTCTTGAAAATAAGACCACTTTACATTTAGTAACTGTGGCCATGACGATCTTATTTCAAAGTGGCTTCAGGGATACATCCAGATCTCAAGTGGAATATTCTCAACCCATCAGATCAAAGCTGTGAGTGAAAATGTGGAGAATTGAGATGTGACACCTGATTCCCTAGTATAACGTTTAATAAATTGATTGCTGTAACTTTTCTCCTTGAAAAATATTGGAAAGCCTTCAGGAGCAGAGTTCCAGGAGCTGGGCAGAGTCCTTGGTTGCACTCCTCATTCCTGATACCCGCACACTGGGTGTCATTGCCTGCTTCCTCCCTCCTCTCACTGTAGTTACCTTGGTTGGGAGATAAACTGGCCAATCCTGACCTGCTCTTCAATCCCACCCAATTTTGCATTTTTCCCACTGAAATTATTGGCTACTTCTAAATACACCCATGTTCGTTCTAGTTTTGACACAGGTGGACTATTTATCTTGGTGAGTGGATTTGTTTATGCAAGATGAGTATTGTTGACATAGTGATTCTGCAGGATTCAGAATATCGCCTAGTTAATAGAATCATATATTCATAACGTTCTTTGTAAAGATGACTCTTCTTGCCAGAGTTTTGGATTACTTTTACATTCTTTTTTTAAAATGCAAGAAAGAGTTTTAACTCATACTTCTTGGATGCTTGTTAAATACATCCTCACACACTGACAAGATGTTGAGTCATCATACAAGAGCATACCCGTGTCAACAGAGTAGGGCAGCCACGTGAGATCACTGAGAGTACTCTGTGT